AACTTGAATCAATGTTTGTATTTCTTTAATGTTTACTTTGCTTCACGGGCGGATCTACGGGAGGAGAGGGCTTTCGGGCTGAAGCCCCCCTCCCCCCCTCCCAAAATGGAAAAATATAACCATGTTTTATCGAACAAAATATTAAAAAAGTAACTCTTAAAGTATTATTGTTCGTGTGATTAATATTAAAAGGGCTTTAGGAATCACTTAAACACCATTTCATACAGGTAGTTAGTTTCTTTCTTTTTTTCCAAAGTAATTATCGTAATTTTTATGAAAAAAAAGATTTCGGGCTGAAGCCCCCCCCCAAAATTAAATCCTGGATCCGCTAGTGCTTTGCTTGAGAGATGTTAATTTAATGATTCCTGATACAGTTTAAATTTTCTTCATCTGCCATTTTAAAATTCCTTTGATGAATTTTGCCTTGTTTCATTTTTGATTTCCATATTATTTACATTCTTTATTATAACAGATTAAGATAAATGCTATTCACAACATCCTCCTTGTTTGTTTATCTGGAAATACAGAAATTTCTGAACATCTTGTGTTCTTTCTTGTGTTTTGTTTCTGTCTTTTTGTGTTTCTGATGTTTTTTAAATGCCTAAAGTACTTAATAATCTATAAAACCGGTATCTCTGTAATAAGATGGACGAAGAGCTAAAGACATCGATTTAAGTCCAATTTTGTCATTCATATTTATTAAGGTTATGAAACATAAACGTGTTATGAAATGCCTGAAGATGATAGAAGTCTTTCTATAATTATCTAATTAATTCCAATTAAAATACCTCGAGTTTTTAACCTATGACGAAATGCCGTGCTGGGTGCATTATAATTATTATTAAGTTAGAGAATCTATAATAGTTGAATAGCAGTTTCAACAAATTATCTTTAATGGGCGATACATAATTTTGTAAATCTAAATAACACTGTAATCTATAAAATACGAGTATATAAAGATGATCTTGTTTGTTATAACATGCTAATTTCAGGAACTACGTTTACTAAACGTTTTAAAAAATTCTATTCGTGTTAGATATGCCGTATATTAAGGAAGAGTTTAGATTTTATAACATCACAGTATAACCCATAGCAACGGAGTAATAACAATAAACCATAAACCTCAATTAATTTAGGTAATTGTAGGCAATTAAGCTGTTACTGCTTCTCGTAGATATCGTTTCGAATCACTATTAATACTTCTTCAGTCCTTTTTATTTTATATAATTCGGGCTGAAGACCTATCCTCCCTCCCCCTCCCCCAAAATGGTAAAATATAACCATGTTTTATGGAAAAATATATTTAAAAAATATCTCTTAAAGTATTATTGTTCGTGTAATTTCATTTAAAAGGACTTAAGGAATCACTTAAACACCATTTCATATAAATAGTTTCTTTCTTTTTTTCCAAAGTCATTATCGTCATGTTTATGAAAAAAAAAAGCTTTCGGGCAGAAGCCCCCCCCCCCAAATTAAATCCTGGATCCGCTAGAGACTGTCATTATATTGTTAACAATTATTTATATTAATTTTAATTATATAATGGAATTCAATGAAATTCATATTAGGATATTTCTATACTATTCTCCAAATTTCCTACAAGTTTGGGTTAAATTGAACAAGCTGTTTTCAAACTATAGGCTTGCCAAATAATAAATTTGCTAATCCGAAAGTGAAAGTATTTTTTCTAGAAGAAGTGGATAGAATTTTATAGAATTCATACCTACTTTATTATTTGTTTACCAAACCCTAACTTCCCTCCAAATTTGACCCGAATCGAACGTTTTAGGGATATAGATGTATCAAGGAAAACACGTTTGCTCATATATACGAGAAATTAGAGGACAGAATTCAATAAAATTGGCATTACGATATTTTTTCAAAATTATCTACCTTTTATCTAACTTTGAGCTAAATCGAACGAGCCCTTCCTGAAATATTGCCATATCTAACAAAATACGTTTGCGCGTGCGGAAGTGTTGGATGGAATTTGATATAATTGATGTGGGACCATCTGGGCACCACAATCCCCATAATTCCTGAAAATTTGATGAAAATCGGATGAACGGTACTAGAGGATATACCGGTCACATCGATTTTACCACAGACAGACACCGAACCAAATTTGATCCTTGATGTCTGAAACGTAAAACGCTAGTGGAAATTTTCGATTCTGAGCACAAACTTTTTTTTTAACCTCTCCCACGAACACAATGCTTTCCTACCTTCGGTAGTGAGGAAGCAAAAATAAAAAGTATATTCGATTTCTCTATGTGTTCATCTAAATGTAATTTTAATTAAACTGATATAATAATGACCTGTGTGAGGTACCCCTTCAATATAATGCCTTCAATTATACTGCTTCAGTAATTTTGACCGTATAAGGTGCCCTTAATACAGACAATTTTAGTTTGCATATCTTCAGGAACAAGAAATAAAAAAATAAAAAAACTATTTTATACTTCAATTGATTAAATGTTTATCACACCATCTATTGACAATATTTCGGAATTTCTCCACCATCTAAAATAGTCATAATTTCTAAAAATGTATTTTTTACGCTTTCCTTTCAAAATATAAATATACGTTTTAATTTTCTTTAATTCGTTTATTAATTTTAAAAGAATTCATGAATCTCTTTTCTTTTATCATTTCTACCAAAGGTGTACAACACTGGAATCAAAAGAAACCTTCCCGAATTAATTAAGTTGTGTACATAAAAAAATTTAAGTACTTTCTGATCTTATGAAATTGTTATCTGTTATCGTCAGATATTGCTCTACAAGCAAGTATTATCTATTATTTTTTTAATTGGTCAATTCAATGAAGTGTGAATTAAGTTTGAATAATGAACTTATTTAATAGTGAGGATACAGATATTTTACAACAAAATTTGTACACTCTCTAGACAGGTTACCAAAAAGAGGATTTGCTTCAATCATGCCAGATAGACCCTTAGAAACTGCTATCCGTTCCAAACTGTTGGATAAATTGGTGCCCTCACATTTGGAAGTGATTAACGAGTCTTATATGCATAATGTTCCAGCTTCTGCTGAGACGCACTTCAAAGTAGTTGTAGTTTCTGAGAAATTCGATAACGTTCCACTGATTCAGGTATTCTTTTAACACATTGTACAACTATGTTTGTCGTAGTGAGAATTAATTATTAAATCAATGATGACAAACAGTATTTACACTGTATATATGGTTTATTAGATTTATATATAGACTGAAAATCGTGACTGTTTGTCATTCTCTTAATTTTAAAACAACAATTAACAATATATCCATCTCTAAATCAATATCTAAGAGTAGCCCATATCATATCTAAAATGTTATAGTGCAACATTCTTAAAGTACTCATTTATAAGTGATTTACTTGTATTGTATGCCGAATTTTCTACCTTATTGTGTACATAGAAATATTCACCTCCAATAAGAATGCTTTAATATTGAGGATATCAGCAAACTGAATCCAGTCATGTCTAGTCTGTATTGTTATATCAGGGGTCTTCAAACTATGTCCGCACCTGGCCTGCAAGCTTTTTCAATCTGAACTGTGAAAGTTTCTTTGAATATATGGTAAAACATTTAAAAATATGTAATTCAGCTAATTCTTCATACAAGAGGTTACTGGAACATTAATTGTATGTAGTTTTTCACTTAGAAAGCTCGTTTCACAACTGAAGTGTCTTTTATAGAACAAGATTTGTTTTTTCATCACAAGCCGTGACTGCAGGACTTAGATGGAAGTCTTAATGTGTCCCGCGGGACTTTGTGGAGGCCTCAATGTGGTCCACGGACCAAAAAGTTTGGAGACCCCTGAGTTAGTGTAAACACTGCAGTTATCTTAACAAAAAAAAATGAAATAACAGTTAATCATAAAAATGCAGTTTGTTTCAATATTATTCTATGGTCGACAGATAATAATATATTGTTGAGACGGGATCATTTTCTTATCACCATAGGCGCAGACTTCGGAGGGATGGGGAGGTTGATTTTATGATTCATTCATGTGCACCCTTATATTTTTATGTGAAGATTTTACCACATTTTCCATGGCAAATTCGAAGTGTTGGACAATGTGAGAGTTTATCTCACTGCCTCAAATCTTTAAATAAAGATACAAATATATAATATATTCAAATTCTTTGTTAAAATATTTTCAAATATATCATATGTAAAAAAAAAAAAAAGGAAAACTAATATACAAAGATATACATAATTTATTTTAATATACAGTATTTTATTGTTTGTTATGCAATAATGGTGTTAATTATGTTAAATATCACCCATACTTTTTATACATAATATAAACTGAGACCTTTTTAGAGGATCCATTGCCCCCTTCTTCCCTCAACCAAAATGGAAACTCTGCGTTTATGCTTACAATGTATTAGAGAAGAAGTAGTGAAGAATCTTTATGCGATTATGTGATCATTCAAAAGTCAGAACAAATGAACACTGAGTACTTAAAATAAAACATAAATTGATTATTATGGTTACTAATTCAATATTTTCTACTCTACTTATTTATCTACTTGATAAAATTTTTGGTATATATTAAGTTTTCCTGGTGGGCCAAGATCTGTTGTTTGCTATATAAATGGGATTCTGAGAATAGCCAAACATTGATGATGTGTTCCAAGTATAAACTTCCTTCATGATTTACGACATCGGCAAACTTCTCACTCGTACTTTTCATTTAAAATTGGGGTGATAATTAGCTTTAATCATATTGTTGCTTTCGACTCCTGGTTACTACAAAGAGATAAACCCCAATTGGATCCTTTTCAGTTGAGGTTGAAGCCTTACCAGACGGTCTATTCCGTCTCCTTTCGAACACACTCAGCCATTCTCAGGATTTCATTTATGGTTTGTTCATCTGATCTTGGGCAACTGATGAAAGTGGGATAACATTTGTACAGCAGTACCTGATTTTTGATTGGATATAGTTTTTCCAAACATCCTCCTGAAACAGTTACTGAGATTGTAGAGTATCTTGCTAGGCAGATTAGACATTATTCGACAGCTTGACATCTTTAGAATGCACTTCAAGGTGTGTATTTTGCAAGGGAAAACTCTTTTCTTTGTTCCTTCACTACTGAATAATTTGTATTCGGTTGTTGAATGTCATAAACGTATTTATGATCAGCAACAAAAATTTTCTCTCGCATTTCACATATTAACTATAAATTAGGTTCCATGTCTTTCTAAAATCAAATTCATCTGATGGGCATATCGCCTACTACTGTTAATCCAGTTTGGACGACAATTTCAAGGATTGTGTGAGTTTGTACTTACATGCCTCATATCAGTTTCCATCCATGTTTGCTTACAGATTTGCAAACTTATTTTCTTGATATTTCAAAAATGTCTCGTTTGATTTGGCCTAAATTTTAAGCATAGTGTATAAATGGTCTTATATCATTTTATCAAATTCCGTTTAACTATTAAAATTAATGTAATTGTTAAAAATATAATGGCTGTAAAATGTGATATTTATTAAAAATATGTTAATTAATAAAATATGTTTGTTAAAATATATAAGTTTTAAATTGTTTGTCTTTCTAAAGTCTATTATATGTGACAGACATAACACTTACTACTATTAAGTAATTCTGTTTATATCTAAATGGTCTTATATTAAATTTATTCCCCTTCTATTCACTTAGGTGCATATTTTTCTTTAACAAGGCTGAACTTTAAATATAGCTCTTCACATATATCATAGATGCTTTTGTAACCAGTAGAAATGGTGAAAAAGCTATTCAAACTTTACATGGCAGACTTCTATTTTTCTTGAAACTCTTGTCACCATATCATAGGATAAGGCATCTAGAGTGAAGCACTTAAGAGACAAATAAAAATACCTACTGTGACATATACATTTTTTTTTAATCCTTTTTATCTTTTTGTTTTAAAAAAATATTTCATTTTCAGAGGCACAGGTTAGTTAATGAAATATTGGATCATGAATTGAAAAATGGTATCCACGCTCTTTCTATAATGGCAAGTATATTGCTTATTAATTTTAATTAATGTTGATAATATGTATCTATTTTAGTTAAAATAAATAATTATTTATTGAAATTTTTATTTTTATTTACTTAATTTATTTTTAAAAAGATAAATGGTAAGTTTTTTTGTCATGTTAAATTTAACTTACCTGGTAAAAAATCTTTCGCTTTCATTCTATCTCATTATTTTCAGTCAATTAGTTTTAAAATTAAACAGTTTCAGAACTATTTATTTTCTTGTTAAGTGGTGATTAACAGCGCTTGACCTAAAATTTTAACTTTTATTTTTAATCTAACTTTTTTTTTTTAACTAGAACTTTTATTTAAAGTTCTGTCGATTTGGCAAAAAATTAGTTATTTCTGGCTACTTGGAAGATACATTAGAATGAAGTGATTTGTTTAAGATAAATTATAACTCTAATCTAAGTCCAATTATTACTGTTTCTCATTTAACTTGACTTTTTTTAAAAATAATTTAAAGTTAAAATTTCACTATAAATCTGAAACTTTATTGCAAAAAAGTTCCTTAGAACTTTTATTTTAAAAGTTTTAACCTCTGGTTGTAAATGAGTAACTGAGAGCTTTTGGTATGGTAGGTCATATTAAAAGCTCTTTTATCTATTATAATATATTATGGACTATATTGTCTATGAGTAAATTTTTGAACTATGAACAAATTGTACTATTTAATTTTACTGATATTGAAACCAGTGTTACCTTTGTTTGACGCTCCTTATGTTTTGTTTCAAAAATAAACTTTTCTCAAAAGGCTTCTAAGTAGGTAGTTTTATATTATTACAGGAATATTTGTATTTTAAAATATGTAGTAAAAAAAAGAGTGTGATAGCTCAGTAATGTACTTTTTTTCCGGATTACTCTCTAACTACTCGTTTGTAGCATATGGGTGGTTGTTCTTCAGTTTTTTTTGCTTTGTTTTTTTGTTTCCCATCCTTTTCAGGCTAAAAGGATTTTTCCCTGTCCTGGGATGATAGCAGGAGATTAATGCTACAATTAAAAGCCCTCCTGTGAATTACCAGGACGTGAATTATTTTTATACAAATTTTTTTTCCATCTGACCATTTTTGTCAGAATCGTCTCTGGATTGGAATGTGAGTTAACAATTAATTTCCACGATAATAGTGACTCACAGGGTACAGGATTCCTTTTATAAAATGAGAAGGCCTGAAAAAAACCTCAGTGATAGTGGAGAAAGAACTGCTTTCTACAAGAGATTAAAGAATTTTAATTGTTTCTAGAATATGACGGAAAAAAAAATTATTTAGAATATGAATTATTTAGAATATGCTTTCTACAAGAGATTAAAGAATTTTAATTGTTTCTAGAATATGACGGAAAAAAAATTATTTAGAATATGAACAGGCCTTGAAGTTATTTTCATTCCCAAAGGGACCCTATTCAAGTTTCAATATTATTTAATTACTACTGGAATAATCAGCGATTTTCAGAAATATGTTTTACAAATAAAGAATTTCCTAATTTATTTTCTAAAAAATATTGATTATGATATTACAATTAGAATAGAAGATTAATCATTTTTAACTCTTCTTGAAAAATTTAAAAATCTTGAAAAAAAAGTTACTAAAATGAAATTACATTTATTTATTTATTTCTATTTTTTTCAGGCTAAAACTCCAGCTCAATGGGAGAAAAGTGATAAAACAGTTACTCCAAGTCCTAATTGCAGAGGTGGTTTTGGAAAATAAATTATTTAGTTGTAAAATAACTCAAATTTTTGTAATTGTGTTAATGAGGAATGTATTTTATGAATTAAAATAAGCATGTATAAAATATAATAAAACAACTTTAAATTATTTGCGATATTATTTTATTAAAATGAATTTGTTATGCTGGAAGATAAGGATTATTAGTTGGCATTTATTTTATTTTCTATTTCCTTAAAATTAATTAACTAAAACGAAGATCCTAAACTTGATAGTTTTCTGAGTATTTTTATCTTGGTGTTAATGTTTTCTTCTTTTGATTACATCAATCAATAATGTATAAATTTGTATTAGAACTATTTTTCCTTTTTTAACCAAAAAAAATAAGATAATCAGCTCAAAATTTTTATTTTATTTTATATCTTCTAACAAATAGTTCTTAAGTAATATGGCTTTTTCACATTAAATAGTAATCTTTTTCACTCTAATTTCTCATGGTAAGATTTAATTAGAATGAACTTTTAATTTATATGAAACATCCCCTTTTTTTTTTTTTCTTCCCCTTCCTCACTCTTTCAGCTATAAAAGGTTTTTTCCAGGCCAGAGGAGAGGGCGGGGAATTAATGCCAATTATAAGCCTTCCCAGAACCCGGATTCAAACTTGTAATCTTTAGTTTATCACGTTGCCAAGCAAAGTGTACTTTACAAGTGTCAGCCTGCTAGACCACCGTTTTTTTTAGTTTGTTTTTTTTCCGGAATATTTAACTTAAGTTTAAATCAGACTTTTTAAAATTAGATTAAAAAGAGTAATAACTGGAGTTAATAAAATGGAGAAAGCACCATTTTTTTTTCAATTAAGGTTATTTATCCCTTCAAGTTAGAGTTATTTTGTTTATTTCTTAACAAACACTATAATTTCAATATACTAAAAGAAGATCATACGCACTATAGTTATAACACCCATTTGGAAATAAATAACTGAGTCTTGGAGATCCAAGAAACCATTGAATTCCTCCTATATCCAATCATTACAGTACAAAATTCATAATGCTCCTTATTTTGTCTCAAATAAAATTATCCTTTAGCCTTCAATATTTCTTTTGTAGCAGATTTGCTTCGAAATAGATATAATTCTTTAATTGCTAACTTCTAGCCCACCCAAATCCTCTAATTCTTAAACTTTCATCCTGAACTATTCCAAGCAACACTCCAAGGCATTTGAAAAGATGATGGTCAAGGGATCTCCTGAATTAAAATAAACATTGAAATGGTACCAATGTGTAGTTGCTCCAAAAGCTACCATGTTTTATATTATTACAGCAGATCTACTATTATCTGTATTACTTCTTACACATTTGTAAATTTGAATAAAAAATATAATAGCAACTTATCTCATTACAACATCTAATGTTCATAAAATTTAGCATTTAAACTTTAATAAAAATATATATTTTTACATAAAATATATCATTATGTACATTTTAAAATATATGATTCCCTTGTTTTATATATGTTAAAAGGCAAATCAAGTAAGCATTGGTCTTGTTCAGTTAAAGTAGGACTTCATCAAATGATTACCATTGGTAATGGAAGTAGATGCAACAACGATTTTAGCACCAGTTAATTTTTCAAGTAACTGAAAAGCGCATATTTCAGCATAAGTGACACCGCCAATGAAATAAACAACAAAAGTCCTTAAGTATTTGGCTGTATTAACATTTCTATTATACTTGATACTCAAATGAGGAACCATTTTCATTAGGTCTTCGTGTGACATTTCCTGTTTATATAAAATATGAATAAGTTGACATACTACAGGAATGTATGTGCCACCAAATACAAAACCTAAATCTTTGGCATTTTTCAGATCATAACTTTCCATGATATCAGGGAATAGTTTTAATTTTTGAGAAAACGAGCTAAACGTACTTCTCCTAGCAGGAAGTGAAACTGCTTGGACAACTTTGTTAGCAATTTGGGCTCCCCGAACTTCAGGAATAATACCTGGTTGTTCAATACATAAGCCTGATTTTTCCAGATAAAAAAAACCAGGCAGATTCTGATAGCCATGCACATGAAGAAACTGCATTCGTAATCGCTGATATTCATCAGAAGGAATACCATCTTGAGTTATAGAAAGAAGCGACATTAGTCTCAAAATAGAATATTGACTACATGTATTCATTGCCAAGCACTCTTCAATATAATTAACACAATCTCTATGATTCCTACCAACCACCATGTTTCTCTCGCATGTCTGTAAACTTTCAAATCTCTGACCCATATCACTAATAATAGCTTCACAAGCAATAATATGATATGCCAACATCATTTTCTTCTTGGCCACCAGAGACAATTCTTCTGATACATAACGCTTCATTTCTTGGATATTCATCTTTTGACTTTTCTGATACTCAGCACTTAGTTCTTTAGTTTGAGCACTCAAAAATGGAAAAACATCAGAAAAATGTCTATTTTTAATTTGCGAGTATATTTCATCTGCATTATTCAAATAATGACCACTGCTTGAAGGTTTTTCATTCTTATCTGGTTGTTTAACTTCCACATAGCCACTTCTAATCCCGAAAACTTCATCTAATAAACTTGAATAAGTTCCACCAGTCAACAAAGTGCTGGCATAATCAATATCTCTGTCGACTATGACAAAACATGATATATCTGATTCAGCTGAATTAGGTCGTCCTAATTCCTCACAATAAACATCAAGCATTTTATCAACCAGGTGGGAATATTTACCCTGTATCAAAGTTGTAGAAGGTTTGCCAAAAATCATTTGTAGAGTCCATATTGATTTTGCAACACAAGGCAAATAACTTTGATCACCATTCACAAAAAGATATTTATAAAAGTTATGAAATTCTAGAGATAAAACTCTGTTTTCTAAACTTATCAACTCCCATAAGAAATTATACACTTGCACACATCCATATACTCCTTCTTCTTCCAACAATTTCATAGCACATCCTAACTTTCGGAATACTATTATTAAGTGATAAGAATTTCCATCATTTTGCTGTGTGAGTTCACTATTTATCTTATCGCAAACATGCTTAACTGTTATCAGATCTCCTTGAATAAAGAAAACCCTCTGAGTATTCGTACATGGAATAGGAGTTTTTTCAAGTTTGTAAATCTTATCAACACCACTTGATCTGGAAAAAAAATATAAATCAAATAATATAAGAAAGGAGAGCTAATTGCAATGAATAGAAAGATTTGCCATTAATAAATGCACTTTTTTTTACCTCAACTTGGCAACTCCTATGATGTGTTCTAAAGGCTTTATGAGATTAACATCAACAATAAAATCTTTCCGGCCTGGGATTTTATCAAGGATATTGAGAAGCTTTCGCTGAGATATCTGTTTCAAAGCATTTATTTTACCATCAAGAGTATATTGCATTTTCAAACTAGCATAACCTATAATGTAAAAATATATCACTGTTGTCCAATAAACATAAAAAAAAAAAAGATCTATACTTTGGATGATTATATTCTATTTCGAATAAATTTTTATAAAAATATATAGAGTTTAAAAGAAAACTCTAATTTGACCCTTCAAAATATCATTTGAAAATGATCAACAGTAAACCCTGTGAACATGGAGGTTATATTGCCTTGGAGGTTATATAATAAAGGTTTTATAGAAAACCAATTTCTTGGACAGTTGTGGTTGGTGAACTGTTGGAAGAAGTCCTGAGTACTATTTCAATGTTACTTTTAAAAGCATGACTTCATACTTCACTCATTTGTGATGTGAGAAGTGATTGTTTTTATTTTTTAAAACTTAATCAAAGATAATCTCATTCCTGCATTATTTATTGAATCGAATAAATCATTTCATTGATTAGAAATATCTGAAAATTTAATTTTTAAACGCAACAATGGTTCAGACACCTAGTCCATTTGTTTACTGGGCCCAAGATGCTGATAATATTTATCTAAAAGTTGATTTGAAAGACATTGAGGTAAGATTAATACAATTGTGCCTGGCTCAAGTTTGTAACATATAATACAATTTATTCTTAATTTTAGGATGAAGATATTCAATTAGATAAAAGTAGTATGACTATGACTGCTAAAGGAGTTGGTGCTCATGGTCCTTCGAAATATAAATTTACCTTACATTTTTTCAACGACTTAGCTTCTGATGTGAGTTTTTTTTTTCTCTGACTGTAAAACGTATAATTCATTTATTGTTTCATTTCTATCAGTACTGTAAAGTATTAACTATTGGTGAATTCTAATTTCTTTTTTAAAACAAATGTAATAAAAAAATTCATTAAGTAGTTTTTTATAATTAATATAAAATTATCTAGAATGAAGATAAACTTTAATTATTACTGTTGTAATATAAGATTATAATATAGTATATAATATACAATAATTGCTACTCTTATAATACTTTGTGATCAATATTTCCATCACTGTGAAGAATTTTATTGCATTGGCTAAAAAAAAATAAAAAAAAGTTAATTGTTAATTAAATCGTGACTAACTAATTTTAAAAATGTTGACCTCTAATCATTTGATAAATGATAGATTAACTGAATTTTAATTGTTCTATAGCATTTCAAATTATCTATTTGATAAAGATGTTCTTATTTCTTAATTAATATATAAACACAATTTTAAAAATCTGCAATCAAACAATTACAGAAGAAATAAACAAAAAAATTAAATTAAATGAAAACAAAAATGTATGTAATTTTAATATACATTTTTTTTTTTTTATGATTGCTTAGTTTAATAATTTTAAGATTTAAATAATTGAAAATAGTATTAATATTGCTATTAAAATTATTCATTGGAAATTCATTTTTCATCTTATTCTCTTTACATTTGTGTCTACAAATTATATTTTTAATATTTATTAAGCAGTCAATGTTGTGGAATTTTCAAAGGCAATATATACAACTGTTTTTTTTCTTCACATTAATTAAAATTAATTTCTAGATCTTAAAATAACTAAAAAAATAGTATAATCATTATCATTCTTAAATTTTTATTCATGTTTTTATTTTGTGTGTTATTTAGCCATATTGCCTTGAAAGTCCCCTTATTACCATTCATGTTTATATCACCATGTATTAAATCCTGTTTTCCTATTCAGGATCAAGTGCATGTTATAAAAACATCGCCGAGGGCTATTGAATTCACTTTGAAAAAAGCTTCGTCATCATGGTGGAGCCGATTAATAAAACATCAACAGAAACCTGCATGGCTTAAAGTATAATTTTTTTATTCCTCTTTATTTTATATATTAATTTTTTAATTGTTTTTTGTACAGTGGTAAAATGTTATAAATATACACTTTTAAGAAAAAAAATAAATAAATACATTAAGTTCTTCTTTAAAATACATTGTTTCTTCAAAGAAAAAAAAAAGCCGAATCTTAAAATATAAAATACCTGAATAATTAAATGATGAATAATATGTAAATACATCATAATCATTTTTTAGTGTAACTATAGGTACAAATTTAATTTTATAAAAAAAATAAAAGATAACAAACAGATGCAATCGATGGCAGCAAGACTAGGAAAACCTTGTAATATCTCCAGCAAAGAATAATATTAACATTTGATGATGAATGTTTGCTGTTTTTTTTTTTTATGATAATCATATTTATAGAGTGTCTGTCAGATTTGAAAAAGTTAAATAATTTTATTTATGAAAAAAGTCATGAAATTTTACAAACTAGGAGATGCGAGCTCGAATTTCAAGTTTTAATTCAATATCATTATGGTCGTAATAGGTTTAGACTAGCTGGCCGGTGTGAATAATTCGCATATTATTTTGGTCAGTGAACAAATGGCAATAAAATATAGTAAATGTATACACAGTAAAATATAAAAATACAGTAAATTTAATGTATTATGAGAGGAAAGAATTAAGTTTCATTAAAAATAATAGACCAAAAGATGTCTACAAATTATAATTAGCCATAATGAACTGTATACTTTTTGATTTTTTTACAAATAAAGTTTCCTTTTTCTCTAACTTTTCTGGAAATTGTGATTATTTTTCTCACCTGAAGGATAGGATAGTTTTCAAAATGATGGCTCCCTAATAAAATAAAATCATTGAATAATGAAGATATGATGTAGCCACAAAAAAATATAATAATAATAAAATAAAAATCCTTTGAAAAATAATCTATAAAGATAGTATGATGCTGAATTGGTCTCATGGAAAATTTTTATTAGTTCTTCAAATAATGAAAAAGTAAAATTTCCTGGAATATTACAGGTTTTTATTTCAAGGATACTTAAATTGTTTAACCTGAAAAATTTAAGAAAAAAAAAAAGAAGTAAATAAATAAAGGACTATACTATCTGAAGTGCCCTAGGGACCTCAGAATTATTCTCCTACATTTACCTTTTCAATAGATTTTTAGACCATAATAAATAGCAATATTTTAGTTTTATAAAACGTGATGTGTTGATAATTCTACTTACTAATGTCGAAACTTTGAAACCTCTTACTTTTTCAATGACTTTTGTTAAAGTTGTGGTACAAATTTATGGATCGAAAAATAGTACAAAATTGGGATTTGTACCTCACATTTCCATTCTTTTGACACCTTTTTTAAAATCCACCACTCCTTGCTGGGATTTATACTACTTTATACATATATTTCAAATTTAGTGATACATGCACAATTATATTTTAACATGAGCTACTTAACAACCGGATTGACTGAAAATAATGTGATAAAATAATTACAAGTTCGCGTCCTAGTGCCACGGATTTAACTCTGGCATTAATTTCCCGTACTCTCCCCTGGTCTAGGCAAAATCCCATGTAGCCTAAGATGTGAGGAAGGGGTGAACAAAAAATATTAAAATAAAAGTATACTTATAGACTCGTGAATCGTATTATGGTGTGTTCTGTGATGTTTCATAATAGATAATAAAAACTTTTTATTATGAAACCATTTCTGTGCTATGAAGACAATTTTTTTTTTTTTCCAAAAGCCGGTGTATAAAAGTTAGTACTATCAATGATGTTTCTATTGTTTTTTATTATTAAGAAGCTACTTTGATATATTTATTTATTGCTAAAGAGAGGCTGTTTAATTTTTGTTAAGTATCTTACTAACTTATCTATTTTAAAAAATTATATTTTTTTCATGTCTCTGGTATTGTGGATTGGAGTATTTAAATGTTAAATATTGTACCAATTATATCAGTTTTTTTATTGATAAACATCAGTTATTTTCTATTATAACCAGTGTGATGACCTGTAATTTTCCATAAATAACCTAAAAAGACCTGAGAATTTAATTGAAAAGTTTTGGTAGACACATTATAAATATTAAAATGCGAAATCAGTAATACGAATTAATTGTTGGAAGGAGTGTTCTGTTTCAACCATAAAAGATTCAATAAAAGATAAAAACTGAGTTAATACATACAGTTTTATTAGCAGTATATATAAATGTACACATTCATTTGAAAATGTTGAATTTGTATGAAGATAAAAAATTATTTTTTATTCTAGTGCTTTGTATATAGGTGTGTATGTATTCTTTTTATTTATTTATTTTTAGGTTATTTTATTCTTATTTATTGTATATATATTATTTTTCTGTATAATTTATTTTATTTACTGTACATAGAGTGTGAATGTGATCTGTGAACTCTATTATAAATGTCCTAGAGACAGATTGTAATATTTTTCAATAAATAAGTTTAAAAAAAAAAAAAAAAATTCTAGTGCTAACTTTAGTATTTTATCAAATAGATTGATTTCGAGCGGTGGAAAAGCGAAGATGATGATCAATCCGATTCAAATATTGATGGCAACAGTCCTCGTGATGTTATGGGAGATTATCCAGAGTTGTTCGAAAAGTTAAAAAAAGATGAATTTGGATATGTAAAAGGTATTGTCTTAATTATTCCTATTCGTAATTTTACTGCTTCTCATGTAATTATTAGTATTTCATTAAATGATTAGTATAATATAGCATAAGCACTAGTAATAATTAATTAAAGGATGTTTTATTAAATATTGATATTGAAAAGGTGCCTTGTTAGTAAATTTCAAGTCTGCTTAGTAATATTTGATTTAAATAATCATATTATGTAATTGTAATTGTATTTAAATTTTGTATAATTAATTCATACTCGCCTTCATTTTCATGTAGTTTTACCTTGGTTTTTGAGGAATATAACTTTATTTACCAATGAGTAAGGTTTATGTTTTTTATTATTTTCTTAATAAACTGTCATATATTTTTTAAAATGACTTTTAATATTTTTTAATAGTAGATTATTATCAAACATTGGTAAGCAGTTTTAGATTGATAGTTTATATGTTATAGTATTCACATTGTTTTAATCTTCTAGAAATCCATTTATAAGATTTGATTCAAGATTTTCCTGATTTATTTGATTTATTAAATTAAAAAAACTATATTATTCTGCCCCGTCTAGCGATAACTGTCTTGCACTTTAAAATGGTTACCGAACATAATATACTCTTATTTTATAATATATTATCTACTATTATATGCAAAATTGTGTCTTATTTCTATTTATATCTTCTTTTTCTTTTCAGAGGATTTCAAAAAAGTTTACTTGGTTTTCTATAACCTTACACAATTTATTTTCTATACGTATATACTTGTAGTTATTGGAATAAGATGGATGAAAGAAGGAGCAGGTAAACAAATAGTGATTAATTATTATTTGAAATTATAATTATAATTAATTAATATTATTATTATTTTCTAAATTTATGCAGATTCCACGCCTGGAACCTACGAAGCTGTTGGTGCTGTTTTGAAATTTGCTCAGTTAATTCAGTATCTAGAAGTTATGCATCCCTTTTTTGGTTATACCAAGGGAAGTCCATTATTTCCATTTTTGCAGGTAATTATAATTTATCATCTTCACCATTTATTTATTTACTTGTCATCATAAAAATAGATATATGTATAATTTTCCATCGTTTTAAAGAGTTAAAAAAAATTAAAAGTTGAAAATATGACATTGTACCAAACTTATTATATCATTGTGACTTACCCAACTATTTTGGGAGAGTAAAATATTGCTGAAGAGAGGGACAGAAATTCTCCGAAATGTTCAATAAATAACTATCAAAACTTAAGTTTGATTAATTAAATAGTTAATAAAGAAAACCTCATAAGAAAATTTTATGTGCATTTATGAAATTGGCACATGTTTTAACAGACCACAGACCATCTTTAATTAGAATGGACTAGCAACATTATTTAGTACACAAATTTTAACACGTAGTGCATGAACCAAGTCTAAATTTTGTGGCTTACTTGGAGAAAATGTTTCCACTATAGTCTAGAATACGCCATTATAATGTCTATAATTAGCTTTCAATACGGACTAGTCTGCTAATTCATAGTGAGTGGCATTTTTTTTTTAATTTTATATATCTTTTTTTTACCCAATTTCTCTCCATTTTAAGCATAAGGAGGAATTTTTCTAGAGGTACAAAACCATACCTATTCTAACCAGGGTGGGTAGGTTGAGATTCATTCCTGGCGCCTTGTTAGGTAGCCGAAAAGGAAAAAATAGTGTCTAAAGCTAAATTATAACAAATTTTATTGAAGATGTGGATTAAAATATCTCAGAAGCTAAAAATCAGACTTCCATACTGTAAGCAAGGGAATTCTTTGAACATTTCATCCTCTGTAATGGGCTATTATTCAAAATTGTATCTAACACAATGCCATGTTAGAGAGGCGAAAAGGAAAAAAATTGTGTTGAAAACGAATTTTATTGAAGATATGGTTTAAAATATCTCAGAAACTAATAATCGGACCTGCATACTTTAAGCAAGGGAAATGTTCAGCATTACCTCCTCTTCCTAGTGAACTGTTATTTATAATTTATATTTCATATTATTAATATGGCCTTGTTGATGTTTTTACTTATATCGTGTGGTCTAAAGCACACAACTTAGTTTTTTTTTAAACACTAGAAATCAGAAATATGCTATTTCTATGAAGATAGTTATAAAAAACTACTTGGTTAAGCATTCCATATTATGTATTCCATATTATGCATTCCATATTATGTATGAGTTTACCATCACAATCCGTTACTGGGTGATCTAAGATTTAAATATATATAAAAATTATGTTAGAACATTATTAGAGGTATTATAAAATTTAAAAAAATGATGTACACAATGTTTTAAACATAGAAACGATAGCTCGAAACTATGACTATTTTTTAAAAAATGAAATAGTTTTAAATGTAAGTTTAGTTGCCTAAGACTTAATTAAATAAGTTTTGAAAAATATTGTCTGTGTTATACCCACTTGTCAAGAGACACTCTTATGTCATGGATAAATCTGTGGTTTTCTATTGAATAATTATACCTATAATTTTTTAGAATAATATCCAAAATAAATTTCTAAACCAAAATAATATATAAATTTTATGGTAGAAGCTAAATTCGTATCTATTGTTTGAATAATTGTTTTATAATTAACTTATAATTTATATGAACTAATGATATAAATATATTTGTTATAAATTTCTAGGTTACCGGGAGAGCAATAGTGCTTTTTGTCATGATTGAAGCAGAATCAAGAATGCAAACGAAACCAGTAGTTACCTATTTGATAATAGTTTGGTCGATAATAGAAATTATCAGGTAATTTTATTATTATTAGTATATAAATTAATATTATTCTTTATACGGACATTCCTCATACTTAAGTCATGTTCTGTTCTCTGGGAAGTCATAAATTAAGTCTATGTCCTTTATAACTTATGCTTTCCATAAAACATAAAATAATTATTTAAATATACCTTTTTTTTCTTTATCTTCATGGTTTTTTCTGGCCAGCTGTAGAGGAGAGGGGGAATTAATTCCAGGGTTAAAAGTAACCTTGTTACCGGGATTCGGACTCATAATCTTTGGTTTATCAGGTTGCCTTGGCAAACATATAAAGCCTTCTGTCTCTAAAATGCAAATTTATATATACTAATCCATAAATGTTTCATCAATTCAGGCATCACAAGGACAAAAAAACAACATCACATTTACTCAGTGTTACCAAGTAATCTGTGACAAACACTCTTACCTCAAACCTCATACATCCTCATACGCTGACTCTTTGAAAATTCTTACAATTGTAGACTCAATGTTATTGTTTTTTCTTACATTAATTAAATCAGAGCTTTGCTTATTTTTTCAATTCATATATTTTAAAACCTTTTTACAATTATTCTTTATTTTTAAAGTTAATGGGTAAGGTACAAAGTAAGATTAATAAAACATATACAAAAGTGCATATATTTTTAGAAACTATTGGAAAAAATTCTATAAAAATTAAAATAGCAAAATAAACTTTTTAAAGAATTCAATATTCCTAACATTTTTAAAAATAGAAGTTGAAAACTAGGATAAAATATTGAAATTAATTAAAATTATTTTTTTTTAAATGACATTAAAAATGTTTTTAATTCTTTAATTTATCTAGAAATTAAAAAAAAGATATGTATATACAATCACAGATTTGTGAAGGAAATAATAATCATATTCCAATGGAAGTAGATATAATTGAAATTTATTTGCCTATGAAGCAGCAAAAGTTAAGTATTACATATTAATATAAATAATAACACAGTGAAAATAATTGTTAAACAAATATAAACCTTATTAATAAAAATATAACTTTGAATATGTAAGCAAAAATGATATACGAGGTAGGAGGTTGGTCAAATCTCTTGTACAATAAGTGAAACCTCGTATAAATAGAAGGATCCTTCTACAAACAGAAACACTGCATAGACATCTGAGGAAGGTTATAATTAAAACCCAATTCCTGTTTTGACTATAACCTTTCTCTTTTATATAAATAAGAAAACAACAGAATTTAAAAAAAAATTTATAATAAATACTTAAATTAATAAATAAAATTAGTGGAACGTTCATTCATATCGGATGTGATTGTTTCCGGCAAAACACTAAATGAATTTGTTTCCATGAATGAAATAAATTAATTCAGATTATCCAACAATTTTCCTTCTCACTCACCTCTATTTTTTTTTTGTAGTTTTTTAAAAAATATTACTTTAATAGCTCCATTTTCCATTAAAATTGGTTTCTTAACTGCTTCGTTGAGTGAAAAAATTCAGATGTTTTCAATGACGTTTCTTTGACACAAATTATAATAAGACAATGCAAAATGGGGACTTTGTTAAATTCTGAGAGGACCATCTATAATCAACTGACAAATAATCTTGCCTTTGCGAATGACATTGTCATTACTGGTCACACACGTGCATCCTTAATAGGAGCTTTTGAGGAATGTGAACAGGCCTTAAAAATGGCAGGGCTCAATATTAATGAAGCCAAAACTAAGTATATAAAGACCTCCTGGGGTGATTGTGGGGTAGGGAATGGTCTTAGAACTGGAAAATACTTTTTCGAGCAGGTACAGGAGTTTAAATATCTTGGGGCCAATGTAAACGAAAAGAATGACATACAGGCAGAAATAAAGCCATGCATGATGGCAGGAAATAGATGTTGCCCTGGCAGTTAAAGAAGGCCATATATTTAAGCGTTATTAGACCAGTGGTAACATATGGAAGTGAGACATGGGTCCTCACCAGGAATTCGGAACAAGTGCTGAACGTGTGGGGGAGGAAAGTCCTGAAAAGGATTTTTAGCCTCTTGAGAGAAGGTGATACCGAAGAAGCTTCTGGAGGGACACCCTGGTGGACGAAGAGGAGGGCATCCCAGATTGTGGTGGCTGGAGGACGTGGAGGAGGACCTGAGGACATTTGAAGTCCGAAGGTGGAGAAGAGCAGCTCCAGAATTGTAGAGGAGGCCAGGGTTCTGCATGGGTCTGATATGCCATTGAAAGTAAAGTAAAGTAAAATGGGATGGGGACTTTCTATATTTATTTTTATTCATTATTACTATTTTATTGAACTAACTTAATATTGTGAATTATTTTTTTACAATATTATTTTGAAATTGAATTTATTGTTTTGTCTCTAGATATCCATACTACATCGCAGAATTGTACAAAAAGAATATAGGTTTTCTTACATGGCTACGATACACAATTTGGATTCCACTATATCCTCTTGGAATCTTGTGCGAATTTGTTATAATTCTGAGGTAATAAAAGATTAAAATAGATTGAAGTTCATTTTTTAAAAATAAATCAAAGTTTATGGAATCTTTATATTTGTATTTTTAGGAACATTCCATATTTTGAAGAAACCGAGAGATTCACCATATCAATGCCTAATCCTTGGAATGTAACTTTCCATTTGCCATCTCTAATGAGAACATATCTACTTTTCCTGTTATTACCTGGTTTGTATATTAAAAATCAATTATTTTAAAACTCTTATATCTTGGTTTTATATAAGAATGATTTTTCTAAACCTTAGATCTTATTTTATTTAATAATATATTAAGATGCCATGTTATTTTTACTTGACCGAATATCATTGGTCCAATACATATTTGTAAATTTAGATTTGTTGGTGTTTGTAACTTTCTTTTAGATATTTTTACTTTCATTCCCTTATGGAATACGTATTAAGGGAAAGTATTACGAAATTAAAAATTTTCAATTCTGAAAAAAAGAAAAAATCTACCTAACAATCTACATACAAATTTTTTGAACATTATATGTGTTAAATAATGACAATATCATAAGTTAGGAACTCTACAGGCGTATTAATCCTGCAATTTATCGCCCTAAAACCCCTACTCTCAATTATGAGTTTTCAATTGAACAAAACTTTGTCAATCAATAGTTGTTAGCTAGTTTACTTAATTATTAAAAACAAAAATCAATGTAAAAACCAGAAGTTTCTAGCCTCAGTGGCCTTTATATACTCTACTGAAACTTCATGAATGGCTTTGTGTTATTAGAACTAACACATTTTTTATTTACGAAATTTCTCGGAACTAGGACATTTTCAATCTGGAGATCGGAGATACGATATCTATTTAATAAGGAACTAAAATCTCATTTGCTTTCCACTTGTATCGTAAAATAATTTTATTACAAAATCTAATAAAAAAGGTGGTCTACAAAAGATATCTCAATCACTTTTATAATGAATTTAATCAAAATTGATAGAGCCGTTTTTGAGAAAATCATAAAAATGTGTTAAATCAATGATATAAAGTGCCACTTCTGGTTTGTCAATTTTGACAAAAAAGTTGCTTAACATCTCAGGCATATACAACCTTAAATACCTAATTTCAGTTTCGTACGACTTTGTTTTTGAGCTAGGCTGTTCACATACATACGCATGCACACACCATTTTGTGGGACTTGGTTATTTGGACTCAGAGGACCTCAAAATGTGTATTTCTGTTGAAAACTCAGATTTGAAAATTTTTCGATCGCAATACTTACCCTTACTATACATTACATACATAGGTAACTGAAAGTAAAAATGTTGCCACATCTGTTGAATAAAGAAATTAGCATTTTAATTGACATTCTGTGAGTACTAATATTTACTTTTGTTAACTTTTTTAAATAACTATTTAATTTATTTTTATAACTAATGGAATATTATTATTAAAATAATTTACTATTATTTATTTATAATAACAAAATGTATTTTTTATTTTAGGAATGTACGCCATGATGACTCATATGTATAAAGTTCGAGCCAAGAAATTGGGCCATAGTAGGGAATGGAAAAAGAAATTTAGTTAAGCTTCTACATGACTTATTGTTTTTTTTTTGTTACATTTTTTAAAAGCTTTTAAAATAATTTTTAATAATGAAGGAACATTATCATTCCTTTTAGATAAAATATCAAACTAGTGTAAGCCTTGCCAAAACGATTCAAATCATAAGAAAGATATCAATAGCTTCATAACTGAGAACTTGTAACTTGACTTTTTGCCATAATTTTTTTTATAATTTGAAAGAAAACTTCTGAGCGGATAACTCTATGGATTAAAAATGAAGTAAATCCTCAAAATAAGTCCAGTCAAACCTTTATTTATCCATCTATTAAATATTTTTTAGGTGCCTTGAATTTTTATTTTATTTTTTAAATAATTTGTGTATCAAATGAAATTTCTATATGTTGATTTAAAAGTTAAGTTAAAATTATGTTGATTTTGTGATAAATAATTATTTTATTTTTTCACTAATTATTTTTATTTTCTAATTAGGTATATTCTTTAAATTATTTATTGAGAAAACAGTTCTTTTGCCAATAAAGGTTAGTTGGTTGTTTTATCATATTTTTATGCCCTAAAAGTTTAATTCAGTTTTACAGATATTGTTTCTTTTGCTTTTTGGTATCAAAGAGGCTGCTTTGGTATTTTTATTTGTATGTAAGAACATATTTATTCTTCTTACAGTTATTTATGGATGCGAAATGTGATTGCGTACATCAAGAGATGAGCAATGTCTGAAGGTTTTTGAAAATAAAATAAAATATTGTGTAGAATATTCGGACCGAAGAAAGAGAAGTCAACCAAAGATTCATTCGGTTATTTGTCAGATTGTGTGAGCTGTACCCGGTCAATATAATTGAGATTATTGCATTGCAGTGAATAAAATTGCTGTGTGTAATCACGATAGAATCCCTAAAAATTTATTATGGGCTGTGCTAACTGGTAGCATCCAAGGCATAGATTGAAGCGAAAATGGGAGGATTGCGTTAAAGCTGATCTTGCACGATTGGCTTTGGATGGTAAACTGTAGATGTGTTAATATATAAAGAGTGATTGGTAGTGTCTGCATCAATTTTTCAAATTCCTAAGCATTTTTATTATTATTGTGCAAAAGATAGTCTTTTTATTTTTTGTTTGATTTTTTCGAAACGTATATATTAAATTTTTTTTAAGACCTCCAGTATTGTTGACTATAGTATCAAAAATTCTAAATATTGCACCAATTATGTATAATTATTATTAATAAACATCAATTTATAAAAAATATATATTTTTGGGATTTTATCCTCGGTAGTCACATTGGTTTACGTACTTATTAAATACAAAAAAATAAACTTTTTTTTTCAAAAGGTAACTTAAGTTTGGGTGGGGAAGATTTTGTTTAAGAATTCACTGAATCTCTTTACTACGATAAAGTAAAAATTTTATTTTAAATTCTGATTGGAGATAGTGTGATAATTTACTGTTTTTATGTTTGAAATTATCCAAGATTGAGGTTTTTATTCAAATAAAAAAATTATTGCAAAAACGTTACAAGACAATCATATGATATGCTATTGATATATGACTGTTAATGTGCTTTTAATTGTACAAACATATTGTCATCTCTTATTAAATATTAATTAGTTTATTGAATTTTTTATCAAGACTTATAGCTTATAGTAATCTTTTTCTTTGGTTGGAGGTCAGTTCAGTTGTGTAATATGTTAAGTAATTTTTTTTTTTTTTGCTAGTCATTAAATATAGAATTGATTATTTTGACTTACTGATAAACTTGAATTTTTTTTATTGTTTAATTTCAATTTATTACTGCAATGTTGTTGTTTTTTAAACAATTATTACTATATAGTTGTTTTCACCAGCCAAATAAAGTTTCCATTTTGCTCTAGTCATTAAAGTTTCTGAATTCGATTGACTTTTTCAATTATTACAAATTAAAATTATACTTAAAATAGAAATATGTAGTTTTATTTTTCATTTTAAGAATGAAAATGTTTGTTATTTGTTAAAATAAAATAATAAATAACTGTAAATATAGAGAAAAACAAAATATTTTACCCAAGTTCTATCCTGACATCTTGCATTCTAGCTATTGAGTATATAGTTAAAATGAAATAAAGATGCCAAACTACCTCAGGTTTCAGGAATGGGAAGCTATACTGGTTCAAATCTAGTATGTAGTCGTTAATGTAATATATAATACCCTAGTAATGTAATATATTTAAAAAGTATGAAAACACCACTAGTACAGCACTAGCAAACTATTCCATAACTCAGAAATACAAATTGGACTTCAATACACCTAAAATATTAGACATTAAAGAATAGAAAAATATTAGAAGTTCATAACAAATAATAGTGTCAACCATAAATTACAAAAAACTTAACATCTAATTTTAACTTAAGATATTACAAATGGAATTAAGCTGTTTTAGTTTTGCATATATTCATATTTATTTACTTTTAATCTTAACAAGTACAAAAATAAATTTATTTAATTGTTAGATTTTGTCTTCTAAACCTTCAAAAGAAAAAATAATAATTGTTAATGACATGAATTTTATTAGAAATGCTTGAATCATTTTTTTTTTTTTACAGAATGCAAATATATATTATTTTTTAAATTCCAAAATCAATAAATTAAAAAAAAAATTCTTTTTAATTTTAATTAATAAAAGAAACATTGACAAAAACATTTTTCAAGTTTTATTTTGCTAGATGGTCCACTAAGTATTATCAATATTAACTGTCATCAATGCAAATGGTGTAGGAAGGATTATAATTATGAAACATCAGTCAGTTTTTAGTTTAGATATAATACGTACAATTACCTAAAAAACAATAATGTGTTCATTTGACTAATATCCACATTATGATGAATTTACAAAGTAAATCCAAAAATAAAGTATATAATATACAAACTAAAAGATAATTCAGATTCATTATCTTTAAGTTTGTATCATTATAATTATTTTCACAGTAATAAAAAAAAATTATTAAAGGGAAAAAATAACTACTTTGGAAAATGGGTAGCATAACCCAAAATGTTCAACTAATAAGGAATGCAATCATAATATGAAGGCCTTTGATAATTTTTCCTAAACTATTTTCCATTGACTTACACAAAAAAAAAAAAAAAAAAAAAAAAAGAATCTTCTAACTGTGGGTAGCAGGTAATTCATAAGATAAATTCTTGGATTTTTAATTCCACAATAGCCATCATCAGGCAAAATATTGCATAATTCAATTTTTTTAAAGGAATATTTGCCATGTAAATTAATGACCTTATAAACTCCTCGTATTCAATGTGCAAATTCACATTGTTTTTTAATCAGTCCCTGATTTCTGATGACTATCACCTTGTGAAAATTGTCTTTAACCATCCTCCCCTTCTTTTTCATTAACAATAAGGTAGGAGTTCTTTACTGTTCTCCCAATATTTTATGAAGGGGACCAGGATTTCACTGATTTTCCAATATTCACATTTGTATATCAAAAATATAACTCAAAAAAGTGTTCAATAAACTATACATATAATAATTATATTAAAGATAATAAGCTAATGTCTGTGGTTACTTTATATGTTGTTCTAACCTTCAAATCCTCCCCCCCCCCAAATATTTTTTGAAGGGTGGCCAGTTTACTGGCTTTCCTATGTTTCAGAACCATTTACTTAATAAATATATCACGAAACAGTTCAATGCTTTATTATTTACATTTCATTTCCAAGCCCAAGAGTTCAATAAACCATACAAGTAATAATTACAACACATTACAGAAAACAAGCTGGACTTCTTTATGTATATCATTCCAATTTTCCTCCCAAAAGATATAAAGAAATATTTACCTGATGAACTGTTGAATTTTAAAACAGAAATAAATATAGATAGAAAGCAAATTGAGTTTAAAAAAATAAAATAAATAGAGAAATAACAACACTGAGGTTATATCCAAAGGAAACATCGACCCGAAAAATCGATAGAGGCACTGAACCATCGGTGATTCAATCGATGAATAAAGGATGAAAAACATTCATAGTCCATCAATGAGTTTAGGAACGGCCAGATGTATATCCGATTCCCTTCAATAAGCTTAGCTCTGAGTTTATAAACCCATTACTATACGACTATGCTTAAATGTTCTCTGTTTTTTATTTTATTAAATGGATCTGTCTTTACTGCTTGCATTATAGTGGTTCCACTTCATCGTTCAATCTGGAATCATAATGAGAATACCTTCATTATTCAATTTTTAAAACATTAATAAAAGTTTTATATGTAAGAGTACTTTTCCATGACTACGAAAACCAAATAAAAGACTAAAGCTTGTATATTTATTTATTGTTGAGTTGGACAAGAACGTTACATAACACGTCCTGGTCCAGTTAATTTACATATATCCCTTCAAACAGAACAAACAAGAACTGGAAAGCAAGATTCTATAATAAGAATATGTACAGCATTCGACAATAAAATTACCGTCGGCTTATAAAATTAGGCATAATATATTATTTTAAATCGCACAGAATTCATTACAGAAATATGAATTTGACATTAAAAAAATTATATATATATATATATATATATATATATATAAGCAAAAAAGTGCTTCATACATCTTTTATTTTAATTGTGTTGTGATTAAACTAGTAAGAAACGATCTATTTCAGGACTGATTCAGAAATTGTCATTGGAGGGGCACAAAAAATAATAATAAACTTCTATCATATTATAATTACCAAAGCAAATAACTGAAAAAATATTTATTCTGTTTAAAAAAAAATAATAGAAGAGAAGATAGCCCAAAGTTCAGGGCTGGTCAGCCGAAAGATTCCTACGAGAGAACTAAAAAATCTGATGCTCGCAACACACAACTTTCACTTAACACCCTACTTTCAGTAAAAATAGGTCTTTTCATCATTTGATGTTTTAAACTTAGCAGTCTATTATTATTATCATAATAATCATAAATCATTAGCACTCATAATAAAGCAATACTACTATTAAAATATTTAGGTGATAGAAACTGAAAGTAAAAATCATAGATGGTACAACATATTATTTTAAACAATTAATTACTCAATGTTTTTCTCGTCTAATATATTACAGTTTTGTGTTTTTCTTCACTAAAGAACATTTCCTTTTACGACTGTTTATTTTAATTATAATAAATAATTAAGTGCCATGAATTATTTTTAGTCCGACAAGAGTGTCAGCACTAGGGGATTCAGGATTGAAATTTTGGAGAGAGGGGTTTCAATCCGAAAGGTTTTGTTTTTTTATAGATAAAGATTACTATATTGGAAGAAAAAGAAAGAAATTAACTAATTATTTATATGAAATGGTGTTTAATTAATTCTTGAAATTCTATTAAATGTAATGTCACGAACAATAATACTTTTACAGATAGGTTTTTAATATTTATTTCATAAGACATCCTTATGTTTAAATATTTTGGGAAGCTTCAGCCCGAAATACCTATATACGCTATAAACCCTCTCTATATAAGCTTCCAATCTATGTAGGGTCTCTATCTATCTCCACATGGCCGCCATTTTGTATTCCAGCGGCTATAAACTGGCAGATGTGAATTTTTCTCATCAGGCCTGTGGATATGGTCAATTTATAAGGACAAAGCTTAGTATGCAATAAGACGGTTTTTTTGCCACGAGCTCCCGGACCAGTATAGGTAGTTTGGAGAATCCTGCGTTAGATAACTTATAACTTTGCCTTAAAAGATTATTTTTCTATTTTTTAGATATTTGTCTTCAACGAAATAAAGACTAACATTTTATCAAAAAATGTTCTCCAGTTGAAGAGAACGAAAGTCCTTGAAAAGACAAAAACGACTGACAGTACAACATTCTTAAACAATTTTTTTTTTTAAATAAGCTATGAAAACTGCCATAGGCGGCAGAATTTGAGTGCGTTTCTAGTTCCGGTTGAACTAATTCTGTGTTGAACTATTTATTATCTGACGTTGCATTAATGAAATACATTTAACCATTATTCACAATGCGATCAGATATTCATAAAAACAAATCAATTTAGTTAAGATTCTTTGAAGCAGGAAATGTTTTGATTATATATTTAACTACTTGGACATTTCATAAGTATATTGCTATTACAATCTATCATAAAGAAATGTTTGAACAGTTTTAAAACTGGTTTTGTATCAAACTGAAGACATTGCTGTGTATTCAGACCGCCAGATAGCAGTGAACAAGGTCGCTCAGTAGCGAGTATAATAAAAATCCAGTTTGTCAGGAGACAGATAAAGATGAAGTGTAACGTAGACTATGAAAGCGACACGGATTTTCCGATTGAAAATCTACCTTACGGAGTGTTTTCCACAAAAGATGATGTAAGCAAAAGTTTGAAAATTATTTATTTTTACAAGATTATAATTTATTTTTAGCTCAGTTATTTTAATAAAAATCCAAATCCATTAATAATTCGTATCGCTAGCAATATTATTATTTCGATTTGAATTTGAATTCTATTTGTTATTGTACATTATAAAACATTTTCAGAAATATACCAATATATATCTATTCCTTATCAATTTTTATCATAGAAAGCCCGCCAATAACAACGTTCAATTCAAATTTCGAGTATTTCTGTACTCAGAGCTGGATTCCATCGATGAATTCCAGCCGAAGGTTAAAAAAACACAAAAAGAAATATTAGGAAATACCTACTATTGAATCTTCAAATTTCAAAACAGAAATAAAAAATATAAAGAAATTAAACTGAATATAAATATGCAAAATAAATATAAACAACACAGAGGTTATAATGAGGTTACATTCTTGCATATCCATCGACTCCAAAAGTTGATGTGACCCCTGAGACATCAATGAATAAAGGAACGCGTTGAAATCCATCATTTGGTCTAGAAATGGTCCAATGCCATCGATCAGCTCAGCTCTGAGTTTAGAAACTTGCCTTATTTTTCGATTTAATATTCTTTTCACTGCAGGAGGAGGCAAAATTAATAGAACTCTAACTAAAGGGTTCCAAATTTAAAATTTTATCTTTTTTAAAATTTCATAATGTCTCATATTTAGCATTATTAAATTAAACTTTTCCTGTAAATAAGATTACCAAAGATATTCCTCAAAGTAGTATTGTACTTCTTTAAAAGCCTGTACTCCCAAAAATATAAGAACAATAAAAACGCAACTTTGTGCGAAAGTTGTGAGAGTTATTTTACATCACAGATATTAGAAAATTCAGAATCATTCAACCACATACAACACACACAAAAATATGATGTCAAAAATTAAAAGTCTAATAAAAGATGGAGATATAGTTGACTGTCAAAATTATAATGATCATAAATTAGGAAAAGGAATCTACGAGGGAGCTTTCTTGCTGAAGCTCTCTGCAAAATAGAAAAAAAGATTTTTCTAAATACTATATTTTTTACTGCGATCTGAGCTAATTACGCATGTATAGCTACTAAATTTAAATGCATTTTCCTTTAATTGCATTTTTTTTTTAAACACTACTTCAACCAACACTTAAACATAATTTTATTTAGCTTCTTTCTTTTTTTTCTATGGTAATTTCCATTATATTAAATTTAAAAAAAAAAGTAAGCCCCCAAAATTAAATCCTAGATCTCTACTGTTAATAGTGGACATCCTTAAAAGTCATTGAAATAATATGATTAATAATACAATGGCCAACTTTTGTATTATATATTTATTTTACTATATTGTTCAAATTAAATCCATTGTTTTGATGTATTAATGTTATAAATTAAACAATATTGATGATTTTACATGATTTAGGTGTTAATTACATAATTTTACGTACTTTGGATTTTTACTGCACGATTTTGAGTTTTTTACTGCACAAAAATCCAGTCTCTAATAATAATTATTAATGAAGAGAAGATAGTTGGGAGTTGCTGTCAAAGTTTCTTTCTGCCAAACTTTTGGTCTAAGTTTCAGGCTTTCATCAAGGCTGAGTAAAGAAAGACAAAAAAATAAATATTGAGAAAATAGTAGACTATAATAATAATAATATGTAGGAAAAATACTTCAGTAAAATAATATGTAGGTCATGAAACATAACATAATTAAATATTTAGAATGGGAAATATTTAGTTTAATCTAATTTTAATTTTTAAATATTTCACATATTTATTTATTTGACTTACATTAGATTAAATGTGAATAAAATGTAAAGAACAATGTTATTTTTATATTATGGGACTGAAAATAAACGACAATAGAATTATATCATATGGATAGTGATTAGATATGTCATGGATTTTGGAAAGTTTTCAAAATGATATTGACGTAAATAGAAATGTTAGGTAATAATCAATGATCATAATTTCAACAATGTTTTGTGATTTGTTATAGATAGCTTTAAATGAGCGAATTGGCTTGAAACGTAGTAGGTACCTAAAGAAATGGAAAAATTATAAGGGCAATTCAATCCTTGAAGAAACTGTATATAACTAAAATTTTGTTTGTTTTTAAATCATTGTTTTTAATAACAGTTTAAACAGATGTTTTTAAGGATATAATCCTTCAAATTTTTAAATTCAACTGGTCTAAATTTTTCTTCAAATATCTGTCAAACATTGTCTTTAATAATAAATTACTCATAAATATCTACAAAGAAAAGTATGTCAATGCAATATTAAAAGAGGATATATTAGACAATCAGAAAAAAAATTTATATCTCTAATCAAAAGTAAATATTTACTTCTTATTCATATAATACTAGATTTTTTATTAAATTAAATAACTAATGAATGATAATTTGGACATTTTATTTTACAAATATAATATATATTTTAATTTTTAAAAGTCTAATTTCTAATACTGTTATAAATAAAGTATTATATTTTTTTCCATACAATGCCTATAAAAGTTAGTCCATTATATGATTTTTAATTTGTTTAAAAACTTTATTTTTATATTATTAATATTGCAGGTTGTCAAAAGGATAGGTGTTGCCATTGGAAACTATGTCCTGGACTTGAAAAAAATTAGTCATTTATTTACTGGTCCAGAGTTAAAGAATAATCAAGATGTTTTTAAGCAGGCAAGTTACACACAATTGTATTGTTATCGGATTATGTAAATGTAGTTTTATAAACCTGCTTCATAATGCCATAGATAAAAAAAGAAATGTTCAGAATAAAAAAAAAAATGGATGTTGAAAAAGATTAATTTCAAAATGTTTAGTACAGTAACATATACTTTCCATATACTTATTTATTTTCCTCTTTATATAAAAAAAAATTTCATGTTAACAATGCATGACTGAAATATGTAAGTCACTGTATCATTCATATTGGTCATTTTAATTTCTTTTGTTTTTATACTGAGAAGCAAGTAAGAACTTCATAGATTAAATAAGAGAAAAGATGTTCCTACTTTTATTAAATAAATAAAACAAACAATTATTGTAATGTTTTCTTGGTGACTCATCATTAACTGTTTCTTCCATGAAAATAATAATTTTAAATCAATGTTAATTATTTTATCTTTTTGTAACTGTGTTGGATTTTTTTTTTTTTAGGAATCATTGAATGCATTTATGGCTTTGACTCCAAGTTGCTGGTCTGAAGCCAGAAGTTATTTACAGAAGCTTCTATCTGAGGACGATTCTCCAATAAAGTCGATACCAGAGTAAATTTGATTATTTTTTCATTTAATAAAAACTATATTCTAATAAATCTTTTCTTCAGTTATAATTTTTGGTTAATATTACTTTTGTAATTGATGGACAGACACATTACTATAAAAGTAGGCTACAATTTCTCTAGTATAGAAATGTTAGTGCCAAAGTTCCACAGAGCAGTGTACTAAGACTATTACTTCTTAATATTTTTACCTGAGCCTGACTAAACTTTAATGACTTTTGCTGATGATACTGCATTCTATACATTTCACTGAATCATTCATATTTTATCATACAATTCTATCTTGATGATATTTTTAATTGGGCTTCCAGATGAAATGGAAAAGTGAATGAAATTGTCTTTACACTAAACCATTGATCAGATCTTCAGGTATGCTTTAATAAATTTCTAATTTCTACATCTGAAGGAGTGCGTTATTCGGTACTTCACCTGGTCCATAGGATGAACCCATAGACAGATACTTCAAATTATCCTTAACTAACAATGTTATCTTCTTCAAAATCCTTATAAAACCTTTATGAACATATGAGATCGGGCTAGGGTACATTATAAAAACTTTAAACATCAAGAAAATTCAATTGCTCCAGTAACCTTGCAAAGAATAAGGAATGCAATGGTATATATGATAAATGACTTCCTAAACAAGGAATTGGACATCTAAACGGTATCAGATAGTGCTACAGTAACTATAAAAACTTTTACCAGGGACTGACTTACAAGATGTACCCATTAGTACCAACAACTAGTTCCATAACGAACCCATAGCCTGGAAACTTTTCTAGAAACAGCCTAGAGACTTTTTAACTTACCTCTATCCAGATATGAACACAGATTTGCTTATTGCAAAATATTTTGCTGATGACAAATTTCAATCCTGTCAATATCATATTTTGTGTTTATAAATAAAAAAAAAATTTCCGTCATTTTATTCACTTAACCTAGTGATAAAAAAAAGTTTTAATATCTAAAGTGAAGTATTTTCGTGTTACTTTTAATATGCTCAATTTTGATTTTTAAATGTCCCTTCTTAATTTTCTTATGATCAGTTTACAAATGTATTTTTTTCTCTAAATTTTCTATTAGTTTTCACATTCTAAATTCATTATTCTTATAGTAACTGATAGATATTAAGGAGACTTAAGTGCTCCAATGATCCACCATTGCAAAACTATTTATTTAGCACTCACACTTGTTGCTAACTCGACAGGTAAAAACTACACTAAAAGAAGTGATCACATTTTTAGTGGAAAGTTTATTGTCTGTGTTTAAACAATCATTAGTTAATATTATAAAACATATTTTTATTTTTGTTGATGCATATTTTGGTACATACCTTGTATATTTGGTACATAAATCTGCTTCAACTACATATAATGTGTTGACTTAATGAATATAGGTGCTTAGTGAAACAGTCTGAAGTGGAAATGCACCTTCCGGCAGTTATTGGTGACTACACTGATTTCTATTCTTCTATACACCATGCTCAAAACGTGGGTGAAATGTTCAGATCTAAAGAAAATGCACTTTTCCCTAATTGGTTAGTATATTGTTTATAATTTGTAAATTGTAACATTTTTATTTTATATTAATTTATTTTATTTTTTATTTTAAAGGAGACAGCTTCCAGTCGGTTATCATGGAAGGGCAAGCTCGGTTGTAGTATCTGGTACTCCCATTAGGCGACCTAGAGGACAAGTGTGTTTTATATCAAATTATCAATAATTTATACAGGTATCCATCGAGCTACACTTTAGTAACAAGAATGAAATATCATTTTTCCTAAAAATTTGTTGTACAGTTTCCTATTACAGAGTGTATGATGTTCTTGAAGGTTTCAGTAATATATAATAGAATAGATTGACAGTGTAACTTGAAGCTTACCTGTATTCGTTTCATTTAAGATACGAAGCTACTATATTTTATTTGAATATTAGTTTCAATGATAAAAAATCTTATTTTTACAACATTATTTTCGTTTTTTATCTTCATTGTGATCTTGATTTGATTATTACATTTAATCAATAAACGATTAAGGTTTTAAAAAATACCTCATTACTCCCACAATTTTATTTCATATATACTATGAAATTTCAGCTATAATACAACTTTTAAATATTCTAGAATAAAAGAACAGACATCAAAAATTTTATGGTATGCTACTTCATGGAAGTAATAGTTATGGTAACATTACCAATTTTTTTTCACAATTATCAAATTGATTATTAATTGTTATCAAATTTCATTATTATTAAATTATCTTTTTTTTTAAATTTCAAATATGAATCTGCCCTAGGTCACAAATGGTCTATTAAATCCACTGATAAGACCCAATCACTGGTTTTACAGAAAAAGAAAAGAAAGTCTTGAAAAATTATTCTACTTGTATTTGTAGATGAGTACAAACTATACCTTGTAATAGTTCATAAATTTGAACTAATAATAGTCAAACTATAGAAAATGTTTTTAGTTGTATTCACTATTATTGAATGTTTTCTAAGAAATACTTTCCTATTAAGTTTACATCCAAAATAAAGATGTTCTCAGTACTTCGAAGGTAGCATTCATTATTGGAAAATTCACAAATAACTAATTTTTCTTTATTTAGAATAAAATGTGTTTTTATCATGTGAAGCATAGTTGATAAAAGGTAGAAATATAATTAACATTTTTTCAAATAATAATTAAATTGACATATTATATTATTAGACATGTCCTGAAGGAGCTGAGAGAGCTTCTCATGTTCCATCTTCACTCTTAGATTTTGAACTGGAGGTGGCATTCTTTGTGGGAGGTAAACCAACCACTCTCGGCACAACAGTGATAGCAGAGAAGGCAAATGATTATATTTTTGGTTTTGTTCTTATGAATGATTGGAGTGGTAAGTATTATAAAATTTATATATATATATATTTTTTTTGTTTAATTTATAATATAATTAACCATTTGTAGCTCGAGATGTTCAAAAATGGGAATACATACCTCTTGGTCCATTTACTGCCAAGAACTTTGGTACAACGATTTCTCCATGGGTCGTAACTGTCGAAGCATTAAAGCCTTTCATTGTACCGAATACCGTTCAGGAACCTGAACCGTTACCTTACCTTAAGCACTCCGACCCTTTCAATTTTGATATAAACCTCTCCGTCAGCATCAAACGTAAGGCATTAACAAACATATACTAAAATTATTAGATTGAATTATTTTATTTTTAAATGTGTTTGTTTAGCGGAGAACAGCAAACTTTCTACCATAGTATGCAGATCAAATTATAAGTGGCTTTATTGGACTGCGAAACAGCAACTAGCTCATCATACCGTGACCGGTTGTAATATAAATCCTGGTGACCTAATGGCTTCTGGGACAATCAGTGGAGCGGTGAGTGGATCATTCTTCATATGTTTCTTTTTCTCTATTTTATTTATTTATCATTTGTAATTATTATAGGAACCTGATTCTTTCGGATCGATGCTAGAACTGAGTTGGAAGGGTACTAAGCCTGTGCAGCTGAAGGGAAATACAACAAGAAAATTCTTACAAGATGGTGATGAGGTTATAATAGAAGGTAATGTTTTCATGTATTAAATCAATTAGAATTTTAGAGACTCGGGGAAGTGTAACATGGTTATATTGAGTAAAGAGGAGGTACCACTGTTGCATTACATTTAAAATCAACAGCAAAAGGAAAACATAAAATGGTGAAAAGCTTCATAATTGCAGAGGATGAGCTGAACTGATAAATTGGTACATTACTGCCATCTCATAACATATTTGTGGCACTATGGCAACCCTCAATATGAGAACCCTTGGTTGTTGCACAAGTCATAAAAATGTTGAGTATTTATATATTCGGCATTGAGTAGCCATTTTAATTATGAGGTGAAATCATCCTTCTTTCTTCCTCTGGGCAAACATTTGTTTTTAAGTAATTTAAGGCAGATTGCTCCTTAATGAAAGCTGTCACATTTTGTATCTACAAAAAAGTATAGGGTAATGCAGGCTAAGTTCCTTAGTTCATATTATTAGTAAAGATATCTTTTTAATTTTTTTATATATGAAAGTTACAAATTTAAAATCGTGGTTAATATAATATCAAGTAAGTGATGCTCCCTTTGTTAATACACTGATTCAATCCAATATAGCTATTTCTCACCACCCGCTTCTCCATATTGGTGGGTATGTTATCAGTTTCTTTTCAGGACTTCCATAGTTTGTGGGCAGTTATTATAGACACAGAATTTCAAATAATCCCACAAAAAGAAGTCACACGGAACCAAATCAGATGAACGTAACCCACTTAACATTAACGTACAAATCGCCCCTCAGTGAGATGAGGCGCCTTAGGATAAGACCTTGAAACACAGCCATATATGCTCTTCAAATATAGATTATTATTCTATCCTGCTAAAACATATGTCTTCTAAGTCCATTTAATATAGATGTGGCAAAAAAAAAAATTTGGCATTTGGAATCAAATTTTTAACGTTTTATTTTTTGGTTATGAGTAATGGTTAAAGTAAATGGTTTTTATTTAAATTTCACCATTAGAATCTTCTATTATATTATGAATTTAATCTTAACATAATTGAAATTTACTTTTCTTCAGGTTTTGGTCAAGGGATTGGATATCGTCTTGGATTTGGAAAATGTTCAGGCAAGGTTCTTCCAGCACTAAGTGCATGAAAAGGATTATTCACTGAATATGAAGTCTATAATTTTGAGAAATTAACTCAACGCCATGCCATTATCGAATACTATATTAAAAGTCTTAAATATAGATGGTTGCATAGCTGCTCTTTTTCATTTTATTATATATAAAAAGAATTATCTTTTTTTTTTTATGAAAAATTCTGATATTTTGCTAATAAAGTCTAATTTTTCTGTCTCTCTCACACTCTCTCTCTCTCTCTCTCTCTCTATATATATATATATATATATATATATATATTTTTTTTTTTTTTTTAAACCACATTCCTGTTCCTCATTTATAAGGCCAAATATCCTTTATAAAAATTAATACTCAAAAATAAAATTTGATAGGACTCAAATGCCATCTCCAAAGCACCATTTTACATGTGTGAAACGAGAAAAAGTTACATGGTGCCAAATCAGGTGAATAAGAGAGGTGTTCCATGATTGAATTTAAGGCCAAAACTGAAGAGCTTTAAAAACTTGGAACTTTTAACTGAATTTTATTTTCTGGTTAATTATTAGCTTAAATAATAATTTCCATTTAAGCCTTAACAATTGTTTATTAACTGTAGAGGAACATAATAAAACAAGGCTGTATAATAAACCTATTTTTAGCTTTTATTCAGCATAATATTTAAAATAATATATACAATATTTAAAAATGTATCCGCATCAAAATCACCAACTGAATTTCACAATAACTTTAGGCAACCAATAATTTATATGTCACATTAATAAAATATCTTAAAATTTATAACTTATATTAGTCCATTTGTAACAAACTTATATTTTTATTTCATTATAACTTAAATTAATACCCGTTGTTAGTGATTGTACTTATAATTTTTTTCAATATTTATTTTTTAAAATATACAACTGTATTGACTTAAAAAACAACAATTAAATTTACTTATAATTTAATATTTAATAAAAGCATAAACTAATGTTTTAAAACACATTAACCTAAATATGTAATAAATATTATAATTAATCCTTTGATCCCAAAATATTTAATAGAAACAGGAATAAACAAATTCTGAAAACAACAGACAGCTGTAATGAAATGGTAAAAACCTATTTTACATGTATTGTTTCAAGCGCTCAATTTTTCTTTTACAAGAGACAAACATTTTTTCAATTTACTCTGATCAGGGCTGTAACCAAGGATTATGGCTTTTGTGTGAGAAAGTGTTGGCAAACCTCGAAAATCTCCTTCTGATTCATAAAGAGAGACACCGTTTTCCTTCAATTCTGGGGCTATTTCCTGAAAATATGTTAAAATTTACAAAATTATATGTTTATTCAGATTTGTAATTTAACAACATGATCTTAAAATTAAAGTTTAACAATAATTCCAATGTTGACAAATAGAAAATTTAAATTTATAAAGGCAATGTAGGCAACTATTTATGGGTTCTTCGCCTTCTGGGAAAAATAATTTGCAGGTTCTGTGAAATATCTTCACAACAGACAGTCATGGGTAATAATGATCGGTCAAATATGTCTGTTGCATAGGAATATCTGCTGAAGGGGAGGATGAGGTTACTGTAAAATTACTATGTAGATACAAACGTATCAAAATTAGTTTATTAATTTTGTGTTCTATTATACACAAAATATTTTTAGAATTTAATATGTATTTTAAAGATATTTAAAAACAGAAAATAAATTTATTAAAAACAAAGAAGTATAAACAATGAAGATATCCATTTCACTAATTAGGAAAAAAGATAAATTAGACATAAAAAAAAAGAAGAATTTCTGTTAGTCTTTTTTTTTCAAATTCACAATTCGATTTTCATGAAAAACAATCACTATCAGAATTCAATCGTAGTCTTCCATAACTTGTTTTCTTTTATAATGGTCTATTAATTATTTTTTTTATAGTCTCGAGATCCTCTAACTAATTTTTAATGATAGATTTCTATCGAAACCCCAAGAAGGGAGGAAAACTAAATGTAATCACTTTGTGAAATTAAATATAATCCTATTCAAAGTATGTTTCCGTTTTAAACTTCAGAATAAATAACTTATTAGATCAGAAATACTAGATAGAAAAGTATTAAAGAATAATTTGTTTGATACAATGACATTGTCACGGCTTAAGTTTTAATCAGTAAAAATATTTCTATTTCAATTAATTCTTAATCAGTAAAAATATTTCTATTTCAATTAATTCTTTATAAATATAGATGTACATATATTAATTATAATTATATTACCTTCAACCTCCTGTTTCGTTCTACATCCCATGTGATATCTTTTTCAGTTACTTTTTTAGATCTGAGAGCTTTCAGGTCCCCATCTACTTCTTTGTATATGGTCAGAAAGTCAGTTTCTAGTCCATGATGTTTAGCCAAAGGTTCATAACCTTCAACTAAATCCAAAGAGAGATAAGAAAAATTTTCTTTGGATCTCGAGTTTGACTGAAAAAAAATGTATATATATATATAAATAAATGAAAAAGAATATACAAAACAGTTCACATTAAACACCATTATTATGTGAATTGAACAAATAAAGCTGTAGGATCATTACAGTATTTATTTATATTTACAACAATATGGGCTGTTTACCTAATGTGTCATTGTGAAGACCTCACACAAATATTTGAAATTACAAAAAAATTAAATTAAAAAGAATTATAATAATATTTTATAAATTTATAGGTACAAAATATTAAATATTTACAAAATACATACAAAGCTACAAAATAACTTAACTACTACAGTAGTTTTAGTATATTGTAATTGATACATTGTTATAATTTTGTTGCTATGAAGTCAAATAAAAGAAATTTCAATTTTTATAAACTTGTATTCACATTCTTTATTTTTATCATGGGTCTTCTTAAAATCATTGTTAAGTAAATTAATTTTTCTGTTTTCAATTTAATAGGAATAGATATAAAATCATTTCTGTATTTAAGTATTCCACTCAACATTTTGAGCCTGTCCCAATTTTCTAGTTTTTCATTTTTGTAATTCAATATTATAGCTGCAATAACTTGGTCTTATACTTTACCATCTTTACTACATTTTTGCTAGTATAAGTAAAGTTATTATAAAATTATGAAAGTTAAATGGGGTTCTACAATCTGTTGTAAAAATTGGAAAGAAGTATTTAAAAAATCAGATGAAGGAAATCTAACATTTTGTTTAAAAATCTTTTAAATAGAAATATGTATTTAATATAAAATCTAATAATTAAATTTTATAATAGATGAGAAAAAAAAAGCTGCTACAATTTTGTTTTAAATGGTCAAAATATTTTATTTACCTTATAATCATCGATCCATGCTTCAAAAGTATCAATTGCCTCTGTGAGGTTATTTCTTTTATCTTTGTCTGTAGTTCTTCTGAGAATAACTTTAGCTCTGTTGTACATAGAATTAATAATTTGGTATTGATACGTAATGTCTCTTCCTTCCAGTAACCTTAAAATAATACACATATTTCTTATATCAGTGTTAGATCAAAACTGCTTAGCTAATTATAATTTGAAAATTAAAATAGAAATTTGATAATGATAAATATAATTATTTACAAATTGGATTGAGACTATTGAACTAGTACATCCTTAATAAGGAAAGAACTACAATTTAAAATATTAAAAAAAAAAATTAAACTTTCTGACCTTATAGTCTCTAATGCTTTCTCCTTATCTTTAAAACCAGCTCCTTGGAAAGTATTTTCATTGGTTTCACTTCCAAAAAGCTGACCGTTTCCCCAGCCATTTTTTTCAGATCTCTTTTCACTCGCTACTTTAGGCATCCTGCAATAATAGATTGGATTGTTGGTTAGTAGTAGTAATTAATACTAAACAATCACATTCTCAACAATAAGAAAATAATTTTTAAGCATTTTCATTTAAAAGTAAAGCTATAATACAACTTGATATCATTATAAGAATATAATATTGAGCTTACTATCATTAATCTTGATTAATGTAATTAAACTCTTGTTTCTAGATATTTTTTTTTTTTTATAAGTTTTTAAAAATAATTTAATAAACATCAGAAACTGATACTTTGTAATGTTCAATTTCATGTTTTGTTTGCCTATTTTTACCTAGGTATCTGAGTAATTTAGATGAATCAGTGCATTTACACACAATTTGATCAAATTTTATTTTTCTTACTTTAGAAAAATAATTAAATTAAAACTATAACATTAAATTAAAAATCAAAATATGTTTTATAACTAAAGTTTTTTTTTTTTTAGTGTTGCATTTTATATGATGCATCTACAAAGGAGATATCTCAATTTTTCTTATCCACTTTTGAAAAGTATTAAATGGTTTAAATCAAAATTTACAAAAAAAAAAAAAATATTTTAAAAGCTATAAAGAAGAAATGTATTCCATTATGGATACCATTTAAAGATTTTTTTTGTTGTGCTTTTTGCACAACATGTTAAAATTTAAAAGATATCCTTTTAATGGTCCCTATGGTCTAATGGGTAGTATACAAAATACTATATTACATAATAATATTTTATGTATTAACCGTGCCCCCAACTAACTTTTGATATTAGAACATCTCCTACGGTCAACCATTTCCACGTTTTCCTTTTTTGTTAGTAGACACCTCATTTACACAAATATATTTTTATTCAATTGGTTTTTGAAAATTAAATGATAAAATTATTTGTAATTTATGTTTTTTTAAATATTTAAATATTTAAGTAAAAATAGAATAATTGTGGGTTGATGGTTGGCTGTAGTGAATAATTGAAGATAAGATTGGTTGGGACAATCAGTCACAAAAAAAAAATGTAAAAATAAATATACTTAGTTATCTTATAATAATCTTGTTTATTAATATAAATAATCTTATTTATTAATATAAATAATCTTATTTATTAATATAAATAATCTTATTTATTAATATAAATAATCTTATTTATCTTAAATATGCTTTTTACAGCTTTTTTTTTTTTAACTGATCATCCCAACCATATTTCTCTTTAAAAATAGAATAAAGTTAGAATATTATAAAAAAAAAATTGATTATACTTGTTTATAACTATACAATTTTTTTTTCTACCTTAATATCTCTTTAAAAAATTATTATATTATGTGTTATAATTTTGGAAGAAAAATATTTGATATTTTATTTTATTGTTTAATGAAATAAAATGTTAAACATTAACATTATATACAAAATATTGGACATTTAGACTATTACAATTTTTAATTACTGCCAAGTATTAATGTTTTAATGTTTTTCTTTTTCTATTTAAATTTTTGTAATTTAGTACAGTATCTGAACGCTTTTATAGTGATGGTAGAAAAACTTAACAGAATTTCAAAATTTTATGTTCTACAATTAGTTGGTGTGAATTGTATAAATTGATTATCTATAAAAAAATAAATGAAATATTAAAATAATTGTAAATACAAATAATAATTACTGTTTTATAAAAAAAAAATGTTATTCATATGATTGCAACTATTTGGCTTCCTTCCAGAGAACATACCAAATGAACTTGACTGTTGAATAATGAATCATAGTTTTAAAATAGCAGGGTATAATCAAAACAGATTTGCATTCTATGCAATCACTTTAAATATCATTTCTAATATAACATGTATTTATTTATTAAAATAATGCAGTTCAATAATAAGATATAGATTTTAAAATATCAATGAATTCAAGAAATGTTTAATAATTATCATTATTTTTTTTCAATATCCTGGTGAAAAATCAAATTCTTATTTTTGTGGTTAGAAATACCTATATTCATTTATTTATTTATAAAGTTGTGATCTACAATAAAATACCGGCTGGCTGTAAATGTACCCATATCAGTTCCAATTTTATTTTTTATTATAATTACAAAATTTCAAATTTTTATGGGTGTAGCAGCTTTTAGAATGTTAGAATGAACTATTTAACAAGGATAAAGTTCGCAATTTACTATTCTTTTGTTTACAAACTGATCTTTTTACCACTGTTTCTTGGTAAATCATACATTGTCCTCTAAATTTACTCCTAAATCCACCAATTTTAACTCTAAATGTTTATTTAACTTATGCTTCTATTATTGTAGGCAAAAATTTTCCCCTAGGATAAGATAAAAATTAATTATAAATAATTTACTTAAGAATTATTTAAGTTTTTATTTTACTTTAATTAAATATATTTAATAGTAACTACATCGGTAGTACTATTAGAAAATCAGATTAATGATTGTAAGCAAAATTAAAATAACCCTTAGCAAGACAAATTAGATGAATGTTTAATAATTTATAAAGGGATTCATAATTAATGGGTTTCTCTGCATCTGATTAACCACTAGCGGATCCAGAATTTAATTTTGGGGGGGCTTGAGCCCAAAACCTTTTTTTTCATAAAAATAACGATAATTACTTTGGGAAAACAGAAAGAAACTAACTACCTATATGAAATGGTGTTTAAGTGATTCCTTAAGCCCCCCCCCCCCCGTAGATCCGCCCGTGTGATTAACCACTACATCCAGCCAACATGTTATGAAAAGATTGTTCAAATAATAATGAAAATGGGTTCATTAAAGTCTTAATTTAATCTTCTTTTATGTATTTTCTTTATTTTCGGACTTATCAGAATATTTCCTCTAAGAAAAATACAGTGTTTTTAATAACACCAATGCAACACATTGAATGAATAGACATTGCAATCAAATGAAAAAAAAAGTTGTGCAGACATTCACACCATTTTGCAGGAGTTGGTTATTTGGACTCAAGGAACTTCAAAACGTATATTTCCGTTGAAAACTCAGATTAAAAAATTTCCACGATCTCAATACTTACCCTAAATATATATATATAGGTAAGTGAAAGTAAAAAATAATAACATCTAAAATCAACCAATGGATGCTCAATAAGAAAAATGGATATAGCTCGTAAATAATTTATTATTACTTTAATCAGAATGAGTGGCATTTTAATTAGCGAAGTGGGCTTTTGGAAATAATGTACCGAAGTCATGCGAGGTGAAGGACAAACCTTGAGCTGGCCTTTCTGTAGCTTTGACCTGGATTCACAGCCATTGCTTCCGACGATAGCAGCTGCCGTAAAATAGATGTTGCTGATTGGATATCTTTGATAAAATACTTCCGTTCTCAAAAGAGAAGAACACAATAAGAAAACTATTTTCACTTAAAAAACACCTGGCAGAAGTAACATTCGAAGTATAATGAACCTATCTCAAAGTGGTTGTCTCAACTTCAAAATAAAATCTTAACATAAACAAAGCCTGTGTATCTATCTTTATAATCCTTATTATTAAGAAGTAAATATAAACAATTGCGTATAATCGATACTCCCAATCTTGTTTTATTTTCTTATAATTACTAAAAACTTATTATTTTTTTTTTTGCGAATTTCACGAAACTCGGTTCATGTGAATAATTTCCATAGTATTTCGGTTAGTGAACAAGTGGCAATATAATACGGAAAAAAGTACATTTCATTCAAAACAATGGATCAAACGATTTACAAATTATAGTTCGCTATATCTTTGATAAAAATGGTTCCATTTCGATAAATTTTTTTGTAGTTTTGTAGGAAATTGGACAATCTTTCAAATTATCATGGCTATAATCAACAATAAATTTTATACTTAAAATTGAAATTTAATTTGATTAACGACACAGGCGGATCTATGGGGGAGGGAGGCTTTCGGGCTGAAGCCCCCTCCCCTCCAAAATGGTGGTGTGACCATGTTTTATGGTAAAAAAATATTAAAAAATTATCTCTTATAGTATTATTGCTCGTTTAATTACATTTAACAGGACTTCAAGCATCACTTAAACACCATTTCATATAGGTAGTTAGTATCTTTCTGTTTTTCCATGGTAATTATCGTTATATACATATGAAAAATCTGATGCGCGCAACACACAACTTTCACTTACCGATCTACTTTGAATAGAAATTATTTTCTGGCAATGCTAGGCTATTATAAAATTTTTTGAAGTGCATTTTAAACGGAGCTAAAGCTTAAAGCTTACAGATAACAAGTCAATAAGACGATTATAATTACAAAATGTCTATTTGATATATCGACGACAGGCAATACAAATCTATTCACTCTATCTGCTTCTATAAACCACACATCTTTCTTTGCTTTTATAAACCACAAAATGACTAACTCCAATTTCAACATTTTAGTGATATTTTTAGTTGAAAAAGTTATCTATGCAGACAATGAGTAAGTTGATTCCAGAGGTGGTGATTGCAGTGTTGAAATATAGAACTGAGAATAAAAGTATAAATTTAGGTACTACTTTCTTATGAAAGATATTCTTAGGAAAGACACTTTATTAAATACCTGTAGAAAAAAGGTTTTTTTAGTCTCAATAATTAAAAAAATATATTTTAAATTTATCCAAATTTTCACCTCTTCAGGGAAGAAAACTAGAGGCCATACCTTTCCCCCTAATTGTCCAATTTTAACGATTTTTTTTTTGTTTTTTAGGAAATTCCATAAACTTTTAAACCATTTAAATTTGAAGGGTATCGAGAAAATAACTTTAGCAAAGTTTCATTGAAATCGGTACATTTATTTAGGCGCTACACTCTGTAGGAACGCAGGTTTTTCTGCATTTTTTTTTCGGCTTTATTAACTTATCAAATTCTTTCAAAAGTTATAGGTAGCATTTTTTCGTAACTCTGAATGATGTGAAATGGTTAGCTTTTTAAAATAAACCATTAAAGGTACTTTAGAGGAAGACATATATGATCATTGGACATTTAAGCCCTGTAAAGTGACATCAACGGGGATAAGACCTGAATGATATTAAAAACCACTTAATTATACAATGATACACCGAGTTTGATCAAAATCGTAAGTCATTTTTGAGAAAATTGTAAAAATGTGTTTCAGCGTTCATATAAAGTGGCACATCCGGCCCATATACAAACCTTAAACACTTAATATCAGTTTCGTACTACTTTTCGTTTATGAGCTAGACTGTTAACACACACACACAGACCATTTTACGACACTTGGTTATTTGAACTCAGGGGACCTTAAAACATGTATTTCCGTTGAAAACTGAGATTCGAAAATTATCACGATCGCAATAGTTATTCTTACTATATATTATATATATACGTAAGTGAAAGTAAAAAAAAAGCTTCCGGGCTGAAGCCCCCTCCCAAAATCAAATCCTGGATCCGTTAGTGATTGACGATAGCGAAATTTTATCTCATGGGTAATACTCGCTATATATATACTTTCACTTAACTAAAATATTACTTATATTTTATATGAAATATATATATACACGATCACTAGCGGATCCAGGATTTATTTTTTTTGGGGGGGGGATGCTTAAGCCCGAAAGTTGTTTTTTTCATAAAAATAACGATAATTACTTTGGAAAAAAAGAAAGAAACTAACTACCTATATGAAATGGTGTTTAAGTGATCCTTAAAGCCCTTTTAAATGTAATTACACGAACAATAATACTTAAAGAGATACTTTTTTAATATTTTTTTCGATAAAACATGGTTATATTTTACCATTTTGGGGGGGCTTCAGCCCGAAAGCCCCTCCCCCCCCGTAGATCCGCCCGTGTACACGATTTTGAGACGCAGTAAAGGTGTATTGAGACATTTCACAAATTATAGGGAATACGAATATCTTAACTAAGAGAAACATTATTGCTAAACCAAACTGTTTATTTTATTTCTCTTGATACCGACAGCAGACGGAAAATATCACAAACAAGAAACAAAAATATTATCATAGTGAAACAACCATTTGTATATTTGTTTGTCCCATAATATGTGAAATATCTGAACGCACCTTAAAAAGTGGATAGTAATTTACGTCAATACCGATTATTAACAGCTAAATGTCCTTTCCTTTATTTATCGGTTCACAAGTTGAAATTTTGAACTCTTATCTTGTATATATATACAGTTTATTTTTATTTTTTTCAATCCAATAATAAAAACATATTTTTACAAACTTTAACTTAGAAATATCTAAATGCATCTTCAAACCTTTGTATAGAACAAACAATCTTTACCAAATGCCCCATTTTCGAGAATTTTAGTAAATAAGGGAGTCATTCACGAAGTTTTTGACGTATGATAATAATTTAATGTAAAGGGGTCTGTACTGCGGACTATAATTGAATTGTATTTAGTTCAATACATCTCTGATTCATTTGCTTTATTAATAGGTTAAAATTAATTTTTCTCATATGCTTTGTAATGTTTTAGTTTTAACTTCAAAGTGGCTAAGTATGGACACCCCCCTCCAGGATGAAAGGACTCTGGACGTATTACTGTCTTTAGTTTTGTTTATTTGAAATAATTAATCGTTTCAAATTGTAACTAGTAATAAAAAACTGATAAATTCAAACTTTGAATGAATTTAGTAATTAATTTAAAGAGAAATAAGAGTTCGTAATCAATGACCGTGAACTAAGAAAAGGTAAGTTACTAAACTCAGGGGTCAACTCATCATTTCGCCCAGTTTAGATATATACACCATGCCATGGATGAGTTCACCGCTGATTTTAGGAACTTGTTCCAGGTGGAGAGGTTATGGGGGCACTCCCAAATACCCCTGACATCACAGGCCATAATATACTATTTATTTTAGACATCACTCACTGAGAAATAAATTGAGTTACTGCTTTAAAATAAAGACTTTTAATAATCTAGAAATCATATAAATAGGTTTTTACCAAGAAAATAAGATATAATTGGTCAAAAAATGACTTCAGTTGAAAGGTAAATAAAACTATTGATTTTATGTGTTTAATCCTATTTCCTTGAAATAATAAAACCCTCTCATTGTTAGAAGTAATAAGAAAATAAATAAATATAAACTAAAAAAGAATAGAAAAGAAAAAAGAAATATTTTCCCTGGTAGAAACAAAACTATTATTATTAACAGAAATATATTTGTACCAGGGTTGAATAATATTCCATTGGAAAGTTAAAGCTTTTAAAAAATTAAAATATAAAATCATACAAGGTAATGGATATGTACAAAGTCCGCATAAATATTAGACAAATGGGATAAGATAAATGATTGTTTTACATGAATCTGTTGTACCATCTGGTTTTTTTACCAACCTACCTCAATATAAATGGAAATATTTACCTACTTCTAATCAAAGTAGAGTAGTCAGGGAAACTTGTGTGATGCACGCATCACACCAGCTTTTTAATTTAAATAAATCTTCATTCATAAAATATATCTCATTTCTTTTCTTACCTTAAATAATAATTAATATATTTTTCATTAATGTTAATATAATATAAGATGGGAGAAAACCAACGTATGTCGTTAATTTTTTAAGGCTAATATTAGTGATTAACATATGTAGTGAGTGACATATGTTGATGAATACCTTGTATAAAGAAAGTAAATTTTTATTTACTTTGCTCTTTAAAATCAATTTTTACAAAAGTACTTCCTTATTTTAGTAACGGGATGAACTTTCTTATCGGTCTGAAAAAAATTAAGAAAATTGATTTTTGTCTTAGTAAATTTAAAACTATAAAAGTTGGAGGTCTCATTTAATAAGAAATATATTTTTTTTAATATTTTACTATGGTATTTATTTTTTAGAAATTGTATAATTTTTACTTATTCTTTTAGGACACTTTTAAATTTTGATCACCTTTAAAAGGAATTTGGATTTATTTAGAGTCTCTAGAAGATGTAATATTATTTTAAATATATCTTTAGAAAAATAAAGATTAAATTACTTTTGAAATATATATTATATATTGACTTAACAATATGTAAGTTAAATTTTTGTTTTAATATATTCATAAAATTATATTCTCTGTTGGTCGTAAACCAGAATATAATACAAACATGAATGTGTGTATATATTATTCTCTTTACATGTGGATTATTATTATTATATTTATCAAATTATATATAGTCTATACAATATTTTTTTAATTGAGAATTTCTGAAATGATTAAATGGTCATAAGTGGTGCAATGCAATGCAACTAAACTGTCTCCTTTAACTGCTCAGAACTATAAATAGCCAATGATGGATCTCAACATAGTTATTTCGAACTACAAGTTACAACTACAGAATCTGATCAAGAAATTTTTGAAAAATTTACTATACAATAATAGTCGTGATTTATTTTTTCAAAATAAATGAAATCAATGACAAAAAAATACATTGTGCAAATTTTATGTACATTAATAAATATATTCAACCATAAATTGTTAAATTAAGGTTGTACATATTGTTGGTTTATTGCAAAATGTCATTAAGTACACTTTTGATGTAGCTAATTTTTTAATTACATATTTGTGGATTCTGAATATTTTTATTGATGTAAAAACTTATCAAGTTCACAATGTGAAAATTGATCAAATTACTTAATGGCTTAGTTTTCTGAAACGTTAGTGACTTTTTGCAATAAACCAACAATATATTCATGTTTGTTTTTTATTGTTGTAATTATATGTAACTATATGTGTAAATAGATAGGTATATAGATGGATTGATGTATCTTTACAAGTATATTTTAATTAATTTATGTTAGCTTATTTTTATTTATTAATTTATATATATATATATCTATATCATTGGTTGATTGCAAAAAGTAAGTACATTAAAATGACACAAAATCTTTTACAAAATAAAAATAGTTACTGTAAGTGCACAATCTTCTGATCTTCCATATAAAAAAGATGCATTAAAGTAGTTAGCGATTTTGTTTCATTAAATGTGTCTTAATGGGCTATTGCAATATACCCCTCGAAATTATTTTTTATTATATATTTATTTATTTTTCACTTTTTTCCTACTGTCTCAACTTGATGTTACTGTAAATGTTGATATTAATGTTGTAGCAAATCAATCAATTTGTAGCAAAGCCAATTAATTGATTATTATTAAATTTTCAAATTATAGTTTAATTGATTGTAAGGATGACATTTGTAATCATGTGTAAAATCATTGTACATTGTAAATAAATAAAAGCTTTACTTCAGAAGTGGATATACTTTTCGACTGTTATTTTACAATTATAAGGATGATTCGAGTTCAGGATTTGCATTCTAGTTTTAATAGACTTGTAGACACTTTGGCACAAGCATGTTGGTCATCATCAGAGTTCTTGTTGCTACACTAGACAGGATGCGATGACATGGGTCCCAGATTGCACGGTTCTGATAGTTGTTGGTTCAATTCCCAACTGGATCAGTTAATTTTCATTTCTCAGTGGCCACACGAAATGAATCTTGACATTTCGACAATGGTAAGTACACATCACCAATTATGAGGTAGCCGTCAGGTTAGTATAAAGGAACATGTGGCCAACTTGTCGGACTAGTTCTCTCCACAAGTACCAGAATATTAAACAGTAATCATTTCCCTTATGATGACCAACATGCTAAGGCCGAAACGTCGGTAAGCCTAATAAAACATATATAGACTGTAAACCCTGAATATAAATTATCTTCATAAAAACTTTTCTTTTTCTTCTGTACTAAATAATATTATGAAAATAAAAAATATATAACTTCAAAACCAGGAATTATTTGAATAATTTCTGGTATTCATTTTATATTCAACTAAACAGTGAGTGATCAATTTTGGTTTCAATGATTTTTTTTTAAGCTCTTCTGTTTTAGGGATAAGCTTAAATAAATTAAACTAAGTATATATAAAATAAAAATATAATTTTTATAATTAAAAAAAAATCAACTATATACATATCAATTATATAAAAAATGGATGCATTTAGTGAATGAGGACAGCAATAAAAACAAGAAAAAAATTTCAACAAAACCAATGTAATTGACCATAACAATCATACCAAAATTAGTAATTTTAATTACTCCTATTACACTAACCCAAATTTATAATTAGAAAAGTTTTATTTAAAATAACTTGGTAATATAAATAATTTCTAGGAGTTATATGAGAACCATTGTTGAATTTCGAATATATTCTTTAACTGCATTATAAGGTAAAATATGTTGAGAGTCTTTTTCAATTATTACTTCTTCCCCATTAAGACCATCTTGGACAACAATGGCATCAGTTAGAGCTTCCTTACTTTTAACGAAAACAAAGGCATTTAGATCTGGCGCTAACTCCAACTGCTTAGAAGTCAGTTGTGCGGAAGGACCAGGAATATTTTGACATAATGATTTCAAAGCATCAACAGTGATAGTGGTGTATTCCAACAAGAATTTCTTCTCTTCCTCGGAAAGGACACTTTGATTTTTGAACAAACTCACAGAATATGTTTCAATCTTTTCTAAACGAAATCTAAGATATGATCTTATTAGATATTTAATCCTTTCTATTTCTTGCTTATGAATCAATGACCTTAGATCTGTATTTTCTAACTGACTTACATTAGCTTCCATTTGTTCAACCTGTTCCATCATAATTTCAACACATTCTTTTACATTTGGTAAAACCTCTGGACAAAGCTTTTCGTTGAGCCATGCCTCTTGAATAACATTCAGAACAGCCTGTACTGTAATATCATTATCATCTTCCTCCATCAATTCATCCATTTCTATGATATGAAGTCACACTGAACAACAAACTTCAGAAAGTGAGCCAAAAACATGCGTCGTTCAGTAATGATAACAGCTCGCCAAAGAGGTAAGTAGATCGGAAACACACAAAATATAGGAGTTGCACCTCGAACCCTCTTCTTAATTGTAATTAAAAGTGCCGTAAAGAGAAAATACAAATACATATTTAAGTTCGTAAAATTAATTATATTGAAGAGTTTCTGTTCCTCCCTATAAATCAAGACTGAATAACTTTAAAAGTCTTATTTTCACATAAATATTAAAGATTTAAACATACCTAAACATAAACGTGAATAGAAATATAGATTATGGAATATATTGCAAACATTGACGTAGTTCCGTGATTAAATTGTATATTTTAAAGAATAAGACATGCGTGTTATTTATTAATTTGTATGTAAATTATTCGTTTTTCTGAAGTTTGAGTTAGGTACATAATATATATGTTTAAGTAAAACACAAATTATATTAATTTAAAATATTTTAAATTTTAATAATTTCTATTCCTTATGGAAATTAGTATAATTACAAAACATATGAATATATGTAGTTTTTAAAAAATGAATAAAGGTTTTGTAATAAAAGCATAACACCTTACGAAGGACTGAGTAATTATCAACCAACAACTAGCAAGGAAACAATTTAGAAAACATTACGTATGTTCTTTAAAATGTAAGCATTGTATTCTAATTTTGTCGATGGAATCACTGCTTTGACCTTAGATATGTTGGACCAACGTCAGGAAAAATTATTCACTTAACGTTTTATTTCATACTTTAATAGATACATGTAATTAGATATTAAATGTATTATTATCGTTAGTGTATTCACATATTTATGTTTCTTATCTATTAAAAATTGCGCTGATTAAAATAAATTCGCTTTGTAGCGAGAAATTAAATTGTCATTTCTAATAATGAATAAAATGAAGAAATAAATAGAAATTATTTCATCCTAAATGCATGTGAAATTGGAACTACAGTAATTATACGAAACTATACAATAGTAATTAATGTAATGATGTACTAAAATTAATTTTGAAAGCATAAATTAGTCAAAGTTTTTTAATTGATTTCTTCAAATTTTAAAAAAATTAATAGTTTTTTCTTGCATATCACTTGAATCATAAACGTGGCAGACTAGTAAAATAAAAAAAATAATTGTTAGTCAATAGAAATGATATAAACATCTTCAAATTTAATATTAAGTACTTTAAAATAAAAAAAAAAATGCGATAAATTCGACATATTGTTAATAATCAATAAAAATAATTTTAATGCTAGAACGAAATACTTCCTACTCATTTATACTGTTTTGCAGTAATTTTTTTTTTCTCTAGAAAAAATTGTATTTAAACATATTAATATTTCAATGATTTAAAAAAAATTAAACAGGAAATATTGGT